AGAGTGCACACAAAATACTCACATGATAACAAAGTTGATCGTATCGACTGATTGTTACATTGCCAGGATCTCGAGTCAGAGATTCAAAATCCTGTAGGAAGATGATAACAAAAATGATGATATGATGATGATGATGATGATGATGGCGATGATGATGATGATGATTTTGATAGGATAAGTTTTTATTTTAATACAGAGTCCGTTAAAAATTTATTTTTTTTAATTTAATTTTGTTTTTGAATCAAGAAGCGATAAGAAGTTTACAAATTGAATAAAAAACTGTAAAATAACATTTAGTTTGTCTTTTAACTACCATTCAAACTGTAGTTTAACTTTAAATTAAATTTCACTACCATCATAAAGCATCACGGCAGAATGAAATTTCCAATTCACAATTCAATTCACGATTCGTTTATTTATCAAACCAGTAAAGATTTGACCTGGAGACCTGGAAGATTAAAAATCACACCAATCACAAGTCAGATATCGTTCAATTTGTCCCGGGATTTTCCTCCAACTTTACCTCAGTGCAAGCAAAAACTGCAAAAAAAACAAACAAGCTATAAAAACATACAAAAAACAAAATTGACAAATATTTTCTTTAAACTATAACACAAAGCCCTTTATAATATGATCATGTTTTAGCGAAGCAGTGCTCAGATAATACGTGCAGAGTTAACAAAAATACACAAAGTATATGGTGGTACCACCATCATTATTATTATTGTGTTTATTATTAGCGAACTTATCAACATTAGCTACAACGACAGCCCTTCAACACTTCAATGTAGCAAAACTCCGAGAAGCTATTTTATAAGAATGTTATAAGGATTGATTTTTTAGGAAAATTATGAGAAAATCAGAAAATTTAACAAAAAAATGTTTAGAAATAAAAATTTTGTTTCGAAAGATTGAATTTCAAAAATTTAATTATTGCCAATTATATGAATGTACTTTAAAACACCAACGACAGCAAAACAACACTTACAACCACAAACGAACAACAAACATCTATACAGACATCTCAAACAACAAGACAACAGCCATTCAACAACTACAAAAAAAACATCACAAACAACAACCAGATAACAGCCAACCAACTTCACTACCACCAGGTTCAACTACAAGACATGTGCCATTCACATCTACCAAAGCCAGCTAGTTGACACTAACAGTCCGTACGCTCTCTATTACGTTGCCATCTATAAAATAATCCTGACCGCGATGTTCCAATATTTCCTCCCTCTCTCACTCATGGCCTATTTTAGCTACAAAGTTGTCGGAAATCTCAAAAACTGCATCAACATCCTGAGCGTCAATTTTCCTTTAAAATTGTCAAAAAATATGACAGCTGCTGTAGCTACTACAGATTGTAATGTTGCTAGCGACGAAAGTGATTGCTTTAAAAAGGAAGATAAAAAATTTCATCCTAGTGCTCTAGATTTGAAAAATAACAAATCACTGAAGAACGGCTTGAAATGTAAAATGTTTACCTCAGACGATGGTGATAATAAGATGATGATGGTGCAGATGAATGAGGAAATTAATGATGATGATAATGAAGATGGTGATGAAGATAGTGATGCGAAACAGCATAGTCATGCCAGCAAACGTGTTGTGGGATTCGAGAAATTACAAAAAAAGAAAAATAGGTTGGAAGGGAGGAAGAAGAAGAGATGCACGTTTCTAGCGGTGACTAGTTTTTTTAGGCACAAGATTGCTAGCGTTAGTGGAAGTGGTTCTCAACATGACGATGATTATATTTTTAATAATAACAAAATGTATCACTATGACGATGATAAAAATAACGACAACCACGACGACCCGAAAAACAATCCAGGAAATAATGGCCGGGATAAAGATGATGACGTCATAATAAATGAAGAATATCCCGTCGGCATACATTACGCTCACAACAACACTACAACCAATCCTAACAAGATTAGTGATGATGACAACAAGAATGGTAACATCAACAACAACAACAACAACACCAACAACATCAACAACAACAACATCAACAACAACAACATCACAAACAACAACATCAACATCATTAACAACAACAACAGCAACAACAACAGCAACAATGCTACCGACGATTTCAATGACAACAATAAAAATAATAACGCCAAACTTAACGAGGCGTTTGTTAGAAATATAAAACTGCTCAGCGAAGATTACATTGTGAAAAAGCGGAAGCAGAGCGACATAAATAACAGTTGCTTTTCGTCAATCAAGCGCAAACTCTTCGACAAAAAATCAGTGACGAGAAAAAATTTGGCGAAAAAATTTCTTCTCAACAAATCGCCGTCAATATCGTCGAGCCACACAACCACGCTAACGTCTGTGGCCACCGCGACAACCACTCCTAAACACTTCGATATGGTCAGATATCGTCTGAAAGATCTGCGAGCTAGCTGCAAAGATGATGTTGGGGGTAAAATCGACAGTTGTAACAGTGGAGAGGAAAATGTTTGTAACGTTTGTAGTGCGGATGAAGATGATGAGGAGGAGGAGGAAAACCGTGAGGGTGACATTTCTATTAACGCGAATGAAAAGTGCGACGGCGCTGTGAAAGCAGCAGGATTCAAATGTGCAGGCACTCGAGTGAAAGTGCCCAAACAAGGGAGTGATGCTGCCGAAGAGGGAAAAATCATCGGTGGAAAAATTGAAAAAAAGTTTAAAATAAAGAAAACTGTATCACCCGCTAAAAAACAAAACCAGCAACACCTGCAGCATAATAAGCAAGGAAATCAGTTCAAAAAACAGCAACTGCCACAAAATTCAAACCACCTACTCCACCAGCAACAAAAACGCGTAGCAGTAGTGGCCTCGGCGACAAAATTAGTGACAGTAGTAGTGATCATGTGCGCGGTTTGTAGCATCCTCACGGTCATCAACCATACGTTGAGTGGCTTGCAGCAGATTTTAGAAAGCACGAAAACATTTCACGGCAGGTTAGAGAAGTTCGACCACTACAGACGCATCTCATACATCATCCTGAACTTCATATCCACTGCCAACTACATTTTCAACTTCTCTGCATACTGTCTCTGCAGTAAGAACTTCAGGTCGGTTCTAAAAGACGGTTGCCTGAACGTCTGCAAGGCTGTCGCCTCGTGCTTTAGGAATCCTTGCCTCAAGAAAAATCATTACTGAATTGTTTAATTTATTATTTTCTTCACTCACTCTCTCCCTCTCTCTTCTCTCTCTTTCTTTTCTGTTTTCCTTTATCTCTCTTCATTTCTCTCTCTAGAAATACGTCTGATACTTAACAATTTCACAAGAACTTGACAGATCTTAAACTATGTTGTATACATTCATATTGTGTTGGTATGTATACATTCATATTATATTGGTATGTATACATTCATATTGTGTTGGTATGTATACATTCATATTGTATTGGTTTACATTTAGTGCAAATATACATGTACAAATGAAGAATATATGTATATATTGTATTGGTATGGTATGTATACATTAATGTTGTATTGGTTTAAATACACACACACACACACACACACACACACACATATATATATATATATATATATATAATTTTGTTATAAACATTATATAAATGTTGTAATGTGACGTAGAAATATATATATATATAATATATAAATATAATATATATAATATAATATATATATTTGTATTTATAATTATGTTTAAATGAAAATTTTGCACTGTATTTTTGCTTTTTAACGGACATTTATCATCGCGAAGACAATGAACAAAATATAGAAGACAATAAGAATGATAATAATATAAAGAAGAATTTGGCAGAAGAAGAAGAATAACACTAACAATAAATAACAATAAATAATAATAATAATAGTGAACGATTGGTTCGTTGATGTTTATATTAGCCGAGTTGTTGATATTTTTCTAGTGCTTTTAAATGTTACTGAAAGGCGTTAACTAACGTTATTATTATTATTAGTATTATTATCATCTTCATCTTTGTTGTTGTTGTTGTTATTGTTATTGCCGCGTTTTTTTTTAATTTGACGCGTCGCTGATGAACGACGCTATGCGGAAATTTAAAAGGCGGAAAACCTTCTATGACGTAATAATGACGCAAATTACTTAAGATTGAAATTTAAATGAAGATGACGAGCGATTACGATGACGACGGCGACGATGGTGGTCCTCATGATGATGGTTTTGATTATGCTGCTGCTGCTGCTGATGATGATAATGATGTCGGTGATGATGATGATGACGATGTATACTCTCTCTCTCTTTCTCTCTCTCTCTTTCTCTCTCTCTCTCTTTCTCTCTCTCTCTCTCTATATATATATAGAAGTTTTTCACTGATGGAGGTAATTTGTGATGCATGAGCGATTGAAATTGTGTTGATCAAGGAGGAAGAAAAAAAGAAGAAGACAATGAGACAATGATGATGATGATGATGATGATAATTATAATGATGATGATGATGAAGAAGAAAAAGAAAATGATTATGATGACGATGAGGATGATGATGACGACGACGACGATTACTAATATTAATGCCGTTACTGTTACCACTACTTCTCTATTTACAACTACTACTTATAACGCTATTGGTACAGCTACAGTTGTTGCAGCTTCTGATACTACTACTACTACTAGTACTACTGCTACTACTATTACTGCTATGACTACTACTATTATTATTATCATTAACATTATGATTATTATTGCCCCTCAGAGGTTATGTATTAAATGCTTTATTGAATCCAGTGCGTCTTCAGTTACTCTACTAGGGTAGAGTAACTGCTACTACTACTACTACTATAACTACCACTATTACTGTTGCTGCTGCTACTGCTACTACCATTTTACTATCACTGCTACCACTATTACTGTTTATTATTACTACTACTACTACTCTACTACCACTGCTACTACTATTACTGTTGCTGTTGCTACTACTACTACTACTACATCTACTCTACTACCACTACTACCATTACTACCACTACTGCTACTGCTACTACTACTACTAGTACTACTCTACTACCACTATTACTGCTGCTACTACTACTACTACCACTACTACCACTACTGCTACTGCTACTACACTACTACTCTACTACCACTATTACTGCTGCTACTACTACTGCTACCACTACTACCACTACTGCTACTGCTATTACTGCTACTACTCTACTACCACTACTACTGCTGCTGCTATTACTACTGCTACTCAATCCGCATTCGTCGATTTTGTTTGCCTAGTCGACGTAATTGTTGTTAATGTAGTCTACATACAAATTGATAAAATCATGTCAATGATGACGATGATGATGATGACGACGACAACGATGATGATGATGGTGGTGGTGGTGGAAATGATGATGATGATGGTAAGAATGATGATGGTGGTGGTGGTGGAAATGATGATGATGATGGTAAGAATGATGATGGTGGTGGTGGTGGAAATGATGATGATGATGGTAAGAATGATGATGGTGGTGGTGGTGGAAATGATGATGATGATGGTAAGAATGATAATGATGAAAATGATAATGATGATGATGATAGTTGTTAAATTCATCGCCACACTCACTCGCAAAATTCGTTTTTTTATTTAAAAAATTTAAAAAAAAAATCCCAAAAAATCTCTCTCCATGTCAAATGAAGTAATTTTTATAATATAATTTTTAACTATAATTTCTAGAGTTACATAATTCAGAAAAAATCTTTCAAGAGATAATATTTTTCGCGGTCTTTGAGGCTGAAAGGCAGACGAATTGTCCGTGTTAAACGTGCTCTATGTGCTAATATTATACATCACATCATCGTTGAAAAGCCCCTCTCAGATTTCTGAAGTTAGTTAATCTTTTTTAGGCATTTTGTTCGTTTGTTGTTGTTGTTTTGTTCATCATGTTTTGGGGTTGTTTTGGGTTTTTGTTGTTGTTGAGACACACGCACATACACTTACGCACCACACACACACACACAAACACACACACACAGACATAGTACACACACACAAATAAAACCAGATTATGAAATTATTTTTATAATTTTTCCTTAGGAAATCAAAAGGCACGCGCTTAATTTCTTACAGGAAAACATTGGGATTAGCGTGGAGATATGGAAGAAATAATTAATTTTTGAAAAAAAAAATAAAAATTAAAAAATTAAACAAATAAATATAAATAAAAAAATATGAATAAAAATCAAAACAAACCAAAATGAAACCTAATTAGATTTTTTGGGTCTTTTCAAGTGCCGAATTGAGAGTATACTAGATAAATTACGTTTTTATTTAAAATTTTTTTCCATTTTAAAAGATAATTAATAGGTTCTTTGCAGGACTTGATCTGAAGTGGAATCCATTCCATAGCAATTAAGAGAAATAAAAAATCTGAAGAATTGGAAAAAAATTTATAGAGTAAGCTAGAATAATGTAGGGATAGCTTTTGTATTGTGGCTAATATGCTTGAGGCTGATGTTACATTACAAAAAGACCCCCGTCCATCACATGCAATGAATGTGGTGTGTTTTTGAAAATTTTCCAAACATTTTTCAAAAATTTTGGACTAACTAAACCGCAAAAATTGAAAAGGAAAAAGGAAAAATGTTGAGTAGTTATATTGTATCTTTGATGTCACATCTTCCCATCCGGTCGTCCAGATACTTGGCGGTCATGGCCGGTATTATAAAGTGGTCTGCAAACATTGCACACATTACAAACATCAAATGTCATCACGTCACAGCTCAATTAATCACATTAATCACATCCGATTGCATTAACCACACCAGGTCCCAATACATTATTCACATTTCGTCTACATCAGCATCACATGGGCAACTGAATAATATGATATGCCACACGTCATTATCTTATAAACTGTTTCCAGATCATATGCATATAGAAGCAGTTCCATCTCTACTTACGTGTCATTAATGTATGGCTTATACAAACAAACACATCCAGGCATGGGAAAGAGAAACAGTTTCAGCCTATCTATGAGAGGAAAAATGCCGTTTGAGATCATTGACCTCGGTTGGTTTTGTATGTTTATTCAAGCCCAAAAAATAAACAAACACATCGGTATATTTATGTATAAAATATATAATATAAATAAATTTTATATAATTCGCAAGTAAGTTGACATGTAGATGTCAAGATAATCGGATGATGATGACAGCAGTTTTCAACTGAGATGAATGATTTTTTCAATTCAAAAATCTTTAATGGAGTGTTTATTTGATCTGTTTTTATAAGAAGCACCGGCCTAAATGACCTAGATGAAATGAGAATTACGCGTAGAATGACGTCTTAGCACTGTAAACAAACAAACGAACAAACGAACGAACGAACGAACGAACGAACAAACAAACATTTCCCGAAAATTCATCATCCTTAGATCAATACAAGAAATCTTACACTCGATTTCTTCATCTCTCACGTGCGTGCACACACGCGAAAAAACTGTTTGTCTACATGTAGATACATGGATACTATTAATTGTATTATACCATTGAGAAACTGAAATACTTAAACAAAATTACAAAAAAATATTAATACAAAGAAATAAAAATTTTCTTGTTATATAACTAAAATGTGTTACTATAATTACCTCATGTTGTGTTTCATTGTACTGTTTTATGATTAATAGATTAGATAACAAATAGAATATTTCTATATTTCTATATAATGTGTTTATAATATTACGACACACATATTACGACACACATACTACGACACACACATACATACATACACAAACACACACAGATAATGACGTAGTAGTAGTATAAACGCACATTTTTATAGCGCGAAATAAAAATGTAGTAATGAGAAATTTCCTGTGAGGTATGATTTTAAAAACATTGTGAATATAGGCCACCTGTGTTTTTTATCTTTTACCTAATTCAATTACTTTTCGTTACATTCGGATAAGATTTACACAAAAAATTGCATGCAAGGGAGATCAGAACATAAATTTTCAGTAAATGATAGAACATTTTTTATTAGCACCACCTAAGACAAGGACGACGATGATGATGGTGACAATGATGGTGACGATGATGATGATGACGATGGAGATGATGATGATGATGATGATGATGATGACGGTAAACATAAACCAGCATGTAAAGAGTCTTAGTGTCATGCAAACAAACTGGCCCAGAAGTTCTAGAGCATGTCGTGACGCTCGGCTTTATAACAACTATCGATTGCGTCATCGCTTGCGTCATCATCTTCGTCGTCCTCATCGTCGTTTTTGTCATCATCACATCACATTATCAACTAACAAGAAAGCAGGCTTAACCCCTCTGAAGCATTGATACATTGGGAATTTCCTAGCTTAAGTGCTTATGCACTCTGCTATTTTAGTGTTCATGTACTTTATTATTATACTATTATAGTACTTAAGTGCGCTTAGTACTTATGTACGTGTTCTGCGAAAGAATTGAAATTGCTAAGGTACAGAATATATAATGATTATCTTTCGCCATGCCAAAAATTTAAAAAAATAACACACACAACACACATACACCCACTCATACAGCACACACACACACACACACACACACACACACACGACATATATATATATATATATATATATATATATATATATATATATATATACACTCTTGAGGAAAGAAAATGCAATTAAATAATTTCGACTCTCGAGGTTTTAAAAAAGATGAGATGACAACAATTTTATTATGTGATAAACGCACTAAATTAAATATGACGCGCCTGAAAAGATTGAATAATAGTAGTAGTGGTTGTAGTATTAGTAGTAGAAACAGCAGCAGCAGCAGCAGTAGTAGTGGCGGTAGCAGCATCAGTAGCAGTAGTAGTGGTTTTAGTAGTAGTTGTAGTAGCGATGGTAGTGGTTGTAGTTTCCAGCTGTTAACTAACTCAGATTTATGATGAGAGACTAAAGAACTTCAGAAAGTTCGGAATTTTTCATCCACGGGCCACGCTTCGATGGATAAATCTGATTGCAAAAAAATATTAAATTACGGCTTCTCTACAACAACAAAACCGTGAAGAAAACCATTTCAATTGAATATTTTGTGTTTTATATTTCCTTATTAAACGGTAAAAACACACACACACACACGCACGCACACAACATACACATAAACCACGTATCAGCCTGTTTCTTTCGTGGCAATTTCTCGCCTTTAGATGTGTGGAAATTAAATCTTCTGTTTATTTGTATTCAAGGATATAATTAGCCATCACGCACACACGCACGCATACATGGAAACACACACACACACACACGCACGCATACATGCAAACACACACACACACACACAAACGCATGCATTTAGAATTTGCGTTAACCCTTTACAACAACTGCGCTGGTTTATTCATTCTTGACGTGTTTTTTATAAAAAAAGGAGAAGCAACTAATTAAGCAAAATCTATTTACGATGTGTGTCGTCGAAAAAAAAGAGGATTGCAATCTCTCTCTCTCTCTGTGTGTGTGTGTGCGTGCGTGCGTGTGTGCATATACTACTTACCTATAACCGTATATACATTTTCATGTATTCGTGTGTGTGTTTGTTAGTTTGTCTGGGTGCTTGAGTGTGTATTTAGTAATATACACGTATATTGTGTATGTAGTGTGTGTATGCTTGTGTGTATATATATGTGGTTTGTGTGTGTGTGTGCGGTGCAGCAGGTAACATCTGCCATTATTTTGCGGTTATCATTCATTTTGAGTTTCATAACGACCGCTTTTAATTTATAGTCGTAAAAAATGGTTATTCGTAGAGTATTGGAGTAATCTGAAATGCAATTTAAGTAGCAAAAATGGATTTTTTTTCATGAAACTTTTTTGTTTATTTATACAAAAAATAGATTAAATAAAAATTGTATTAGCAACGTGTGACGATGGAATAGGTGAATGAATTCATAGAATTATAGTGCAAAAAAAAGTTCGCCCATCTAGCCATCCATATCCAACCAGTCATCCATCCATCATTCTATCCATCTATCCCTTCATCCATCCATTCATTCATCCATTCATCCGTCCGTCCCTCCATTCATCCGTCCGTCCGTCCATCTATCTGTCTCTTTATTTATCTCATTTCTTCTCCAGAGAACATTCCCTGTAGTAAAAAATTAATGAATAACCAATTTTCAAATTATAAAGTGAAGAACAATGACAATCAAAGTTAAAAAAAGCAATAAAAATAATATAAAAAAAATGAACTTTGACCTTTGCCCTCCTCAAGATGGAGTCCTTCTCGGGGTCATAGGGGTGCTCCTTGGAGGGAATTTCCAAAATGGTGGGTATGGTCTGATTGTACACGTCAATCACGTTTCTTATCAACTCTGCTATCTGAAGTTATTATTAACAACAACAACACACGTTTAGACGACATTTTCCCCGAGATCGGGGTTGCCGTTTGGCTACCTATGATGAAACCGAAAAACCCCTCGACGCCATTCCATAATAAGTAATTTATTTGGCTAATTTTTACGCAGGACGCCCTTCCTTACGCAACCACAGTTATAAGCGGTGGGCCTAGCCTTTGATGATCCAACATCACTCACAAGGCAGTGAGGGTCAGTTTAATGTCATAACCAGGACATTAACAATAACATTAACAATATTGGTAATATTTAATAAATAAATAAATAAACAAATCAATCAATCAATCAATTAATCAATCATTCAATCAATAAATCAATCAACTAATCAATCATTTATTTAATTGATTTTACATTTTGATTGATGAGGACAATAGCAATGTCATCTCTTGAGGTGAACTTTTTGAAGCACTCTTCAATCTCTGAAACACTGGTTGCTAGTAAATTTTTGGAAAATGAATTAGGAAATAAAACGAATGAATGAATGAATGAATGAATGAAAAAATAAATACACAAATGAAGAAATAACTCAATTACTCTCTCATTCATTCATCAATTCATTCATTTATTTATTTATTTATTTATTAAGTTATACATTTATACAAGCACTCATACATGGAATGATTGATTGACTCATTCACTAAACTGTCCATTTATTTATCATACTTACTTTTTTCAACGACCAGAAAATTAGGATGGCGATGTTTGTCCAATTCCCCAATGCCTCCAAGCAGGAAGCCAGTACATGTGTCCTAGAAAAAAAATTTCATATTATAATTTTAAAAATTTATCAATTTAAAAAAAAAATCTTTCAAAGTAAAGCAAAGCCACATTATTACAATCAAACAATTACATTGCAATTACAGTAGAGTTATAGTAATCATATTAGTAATATGAAAAAAATGTAATAAGACACTACATTTTCAATTACGTGATATTACATAAAAATGACATCATAATGACATCACTACAATCACATTACACTAACATTTACTCACCTCATCTCCAATGACAGCAATCAATTTCCCCCTCGTTATTGATGCCATTTTTTTATCTAATTTTTCAGATCAGATTAGTCTTGCTTGTGCAAGTGAAGTGAATTTATTTTTAACTGTTATATAAATATAAATAAATAAGTTGTTTTGAAATGAGAAAAAGGAATGATTACTAGCAATAACAAAAAAATCATTATTATTATTATTGTTGTTGTTAATGTTATGCAGACCCAGATGAAACCAGAACTAACCAGTTAGGCAGGTAAGGTAAGAAGAGTATTTTCTTTAGATTTTCACTGACTTTTATGGCAAAATTATACAAAATTATCAAACTGTTTAATGTGACTGATAAAATTGAAAAATTAGAAGATTAATTTGAAATTAATGCCGGATTTAATTAAATTCGGGACATTTATAAAACTAGTTAATTCAAAACACTAAAAGAAAATGTATAAAAGCAAACCTTTAATTAATTGCACATATGATTGGGTACGTTTTGAGAAAAATTTATTAAAAATTTTTTCAAAGGATTTTATTAGTAATTTTATTATTTATCAATAAAATTTATTGTAAAAAATAATATTTTGTACAGCAATAACACACAAATTTTTAAAATACATTGAATCTTAATTTGACTAATCACTAGATTAATAACGTTGTGGTAATTACATGTATCTTGTTTATGTGTAAAATGTAACGTATGCATTAAAAATTTTCTCGAAACGAATGAATTTCGTCTTTATTTTTCTAACTTACATTTGATAACAACAAATAAAAATTATTATTTATTTAAAAACGTTTATTGTTAACTTAATATCATGTTACCTGTCACCGATTTACAAAGTATTTCTGTTTTTATACATTTTCAAAAATTAAATTCACTTTTACTTAGTTACAGTTAGAGTTACACTCCTTGGTTTAAGCAATTTTAATTTAATTTTTTAAAATGCGTTTTCATATGTAACTGCACCCATCACAAGTCTTAACAACTTTCATACGAGAATGGGGCTAAATAAAAATCAAACATAAATAATTAACAGAAATCGGTGTTGGCCTAACAGGATTTGGAGTTGCATTCATATTTCTAGGAATCGTTTTATTTTTCGACAAAGGCTTGCTGGCCATAGGGAACGTTAGATAAGTTATCAAAGTTCAATATAAATATAAATCTATTAGTTCTTACATAATTATAATATAGTTGTAAATAAATATTTATGTATATTTTTCTCAAGATCTTATTCATAACAGGCCTAACTGTTGTAATAGGCTTGGAGAGAACTGCTAGATTTTTTTTTCAAAAGCATAAATTAAAAGGGACGTGTTTTTTCTTTGGGGGTGTGGCCATTGTTCTGCTTGGCTGGGCATTCGTCGGCATCCTTATCGAACTCTATGGGTTTTTCGTCCTTTTTAGGTTGTTTTATTCAAGTGTTGCTTTAAAATTATTTATTTGGTCATTCGTTAGCTAAATTCATACATTTATTCATTTTATTCTTGTTTATTCATTTCTTCCAATCCTTTCTTCATTATTTTATTAAATTTTGCTATTTTTAGTATTTCAAATAAATTTTTAGGATTTTTTAAAGTAATTTAAATTAATATTTTCATAACACACACCCACACAACAGTGGTTTTCTGCCTGTGGTTGTAAATTTCTTAAGAAGGTTGCCTGTCATTGGATATCTGCTATATTTGCCTGGCATAAGCTATGTTGGTCCAGTGTTACAATGATACTATTACATATTGATTTGTATGTAATGTTGTAATGTAATGGTTGGAGGTGCCCAGCTCAATGTATTCGTCTATAAGTGTTTGTAGGTGTGTGTGTGTTTGTGTGCGTGTGTATGTTTGTGTGCGTGCCTGCCTCTAGGCCAAGTAATACAATTATAAAGAATATCTTATGTTAATAATTTACATATTTGTTTTTTGAAGATTTTTTCAAACTATTTTTAATGGTCATAATTAGTTAATTAATTGGTAATAATTAATTTATTGGTTATAATTAAGCTATAATTTTGATCATTCAATTTTTTTTTTCATTTATTCATAAATAATTTTCTTCTTTTTTCCCAATCATTTTCAGCTTGTCAATAAAGTTGGAGAGCCTCAGGGGATGGTCTGAGAATTATTATTATTATTATTATTATTATTACCGTTATTATTATCAATGTGTATTTTATGGTTTTTTCCAACTCAATTTTATTTAATTCCATTGTTTTACTGTCATAGTATTGTCATATTTTTTGTTGACATTATTCGATCATTCATTCATTCAATGTGTTATTCGTTCGCTCATTCATTCATTCATTCGTTTGTTTGTTTGTTTCTTCATTCATTCATTCATTTGTTCATTTAATAATATAATTTAATAAAGCAATGTATTGTGTAGCTAGTTGTGCTATGTACAGAATAAGTATTATTATCAAAATTAACAGCAGAATGATGATTGCAAATGATGTAAAGATGATGATGATTATGAAGACGACGAAGATGCCGCTTCTGATCTATGATGATAATGATGTTGGTGGTGATGATGGTGATGAGTGGGCAATACAATATAAATCCATTTTTTTCTTGACTTCATTTTTTCACCAATTTTTCCGTTAAATCTTGAAATAATATAAAGATATCGTCTGTTAATTATTCTTATATTCGTTATGGTTTAGTGTCTTTTTTATTCTGATGATCGATAAATAATGGTTAATAAGTGATTAAGAATTTGGTTCTTTGCATGTGTTTACATCCCACGCAGTTGATGGGCTAGTTTCCCTATCATACTCATTAAAAAGTTATTCAGCATGAAGGGATTTGTTGATTTGACTACGTTTCATCGCTAAAATAGCCTAATTAAAGATTAAATTAGGCAAATATAATATTTTTAAAATCAAAAACTTGACTGGTTGAATTTATCTTATTACAAATAACGAAACCTGATAAGGCTTTTTTGAAGATGATAACGTGTGAAAAAGTAGTCTTGATTTTTGAAAGAAAATTTTGATAAAAAATAAAGCAAAACGTTTTTTCGGAAATAAATAACAAACAGTTGAATCGTTTCCGAATGCAATTTCGAGGCACTACGTTTCGGGTGAGATTATGATTGGGAGGACTGAATTACGAATGCTGGATGATGTTTATGATGATCGGATGTGTGTGATGTCCTACTGGGTCTGTCTGCGTCTGTATGTGTGTATTTATACTTGTATAAGTGAGTATGTGTGTTGTAAGATATGTTAGTGTGATTGTGTGAATAATTTTTGATTGTATAAGGTATGTACATATTCAATTGAATCCTGCACACTTCTGCATCACTGTCGTTCGTGGTTCTCTGTATAGATTTTACGAGACTGTGGGGTTTAACGTATGCAAGCACATTGCATTTGAACATTTATCTCTTCGTGATTGTGGTATGCTATGCATTGTTATATTGTTCTCTATTCTAGAGATCGCAAATACTACATTCGGTAAAGTTGCATAATTCATGAGTATTGCCGTTCTATTGAGCACATACATCCGCTTGGCCCGACCGGCTGGTTGCATGGTTACAGCACAAAATCTGAGACCAGTTTTGAATTTAGGCTACCCTGAATGGTGTACGCTGATGTCTAGCTCACGCAGTCAGTCTGCTTACGTTGGTGAAGCTTATGGATAGATGGTTTTAAGGTTGTATTCATATAAATATATGTATAGTTTTACATAAGTGTAGAGTGTGTGTGTGTGCATATACAATATATATTTGTCTATATGTTTGTAAGATAAATACTATCTGTATACGTGTGTGTACGCTAACGTATTTATGTCAGTATGCGTACGTATGTAACGCTTTGAGGTTATTGATCGCATTCTAGATGTATGTATGTGTGTGTGTGCGTACGCGCGCGCGTGTGTGTGTGTGTGTGTGGTGGCGTTGGGTCTTTTCAAAGGACAGTTCTGATCGATGAGGATTCATATTCTTGCGCTGTCTTTCTTGTTTGTTTTGTTTGAATTTGTATTCATATAGTTCTGACATACGTATTTCCATATTGTCTGAGATGCCATCATATGCTTAAGCAGAGTTGTGTTTATTTAAAATTTTTATTTATTTCGTTACTAATTGGCCTATCTTTATTCGAATCAGCAATTTTCATTGTCAGATATGTGCGCGTATGTAAGTGCGTGTATGTATGTGTGTGTATGTATGTGCGTGCGTGCATGTATGTATGCGTATGTATGTGCGTGTATGTATGTGCGTGTATGTATGTGCGCGAATGTATGTGCGCGTATATGTGTGTATTTGTGTTTGATATAGAAAGTACCTTGACCGGTGTACAACCACAATGAACGTGTTATGATTTTTTTTTCATGAAAAGTTTTTCAATTCATTCGATAATTTATTTTTTGCAGCCGAAAATGTAATTAATTCTAACACGTGTGAGATGGTTGAAAATCAATGTTGTCCCACACCGTGTATTCATCATTCAATAGCACGTTGTTATATATACATGTGTGTTTGTGTATGTGTGTGTATGTGTGTGTATGTGTGTGTGTGTGTGTGTACTACTGACAGAAACACTATATATTTTAGTAGCAAATAAATAAAACCAAAAATATTCGCTTTTGGTTGTCTCTTTGTCTGTCTGTCTATCTGTTTTTTTGTATGCAATATGCATTACAAATACACAAAAGTATTGTTGAGGATTTATTCTCACTTATATAAACAGGTGAAAATATAAGGATGCTTTAAGCATTATGTTATAACGCACAGCCATAAGCGCTATGTATGTATGTATTATAAAAATGCTGCAACGAAATGTTAGTTGCTACGTTGTTGTCTTGTATTTATGTATGTTTGTATGTGTGAGTGTGTGTGTTTGTGTTTGGTGTGTGCGTGTGTGTGTGTGTGTGTGTCTTTGTACGCATGTACTTATTTACTTCAGACTAGTATTGAATGTTTTTTATGGTTAGTTATCGGAATTTTTTTCTATAATCTGGAGTACTTCTTTGATGAGCATCAAATAGAAGTAGATACAAATAGAGTTATATATACACACATGTATGTATATATTTGTTTGTATGTGTTATATAAGTGTTTGTATGTATGTGTTGTGTGTGTGTTTGTTTGATAGGGTTTTTATGTATTATGTATGTGTGTATAAAGGCTTGCATGTGACCATTTTTGTGTTAGCAAACCATGTTTCAAAATGATTAAGCTGGGTGGTGCGACGTTTCAATGAAGCTCTCCATGTTTGCATTCACAACAGCAGATGGAATGAAATATTTTCGGCGAAATGATGAATGTTGTTGTTGGTTGTTGTTTAAAACGATTTCAAACATAATAGTTACGAGTGTATATCTACTTGGAATTTTGTGTGTGTGTTTTTGTTCAATTTTTTTACCTGATATTATCTTAAAACTTGTTTGTGTGTTTTGTCCAAACACCAGTTCAAAATAGATCGCTGGTACTGTTTGCATTTGTATGCAGAGATTTTTTTAAACTTAGTAGTATCGATAGTGAAGAAACTTTGGAGATGTGTGCTTTAAAATGTTGTAGCATTTTTAAAAGTTTTAATTACTGATAAACAAGCGTTGAAGCTCTTTCAATAAAAGCAACAACCGATCTAAAAATTAACGTGGCACTAAATACACAAAATTCTTTCTTACTAGAGTATCTAATGAATGTCTGTGTGTGCGTGTGTGCGTGCATGCGTGCGTGTTTTTTCTCGATAGTTTTGAACTAATTTACGTGCCAAAATCGTTATTTTCTTAAAAAATCTTCTACATTTTATTCGATTGCCTACTTGCTTACAATAAGAGAGAAATGTATCTATCAGTGTATGCCATGCATATGAATATCTTGCGCAACAACAAAAAGTAGAAGAGTGTGTTGGGATAGAGAAATAAAGATGTTGAGAGTGAAAGAAAGATAGCGCGGAGGAGAGATACGAAGAGATAACTAGAGAGTATGTATGTAACAGCGTCTTATAGTGATGAGCAAAAAATTAACAAGAAAACCTTCGAGCAAAACGAGTGAATGAAAAAGAGAAAACCTAGAAGAGAGAGAGAGTGATGTGAAGCGAGAGAGCTCAGAGGGAGAGAGTGGTACATAACTTAACCTTCTGCAAATCGACGGTCATTGATTCGTTTTACTTGCTGGCGAATTGATCCACAATCTTGAAAATTCAAAATTTTCCGATTCTTGAAACATTTTGAGAGAAAATTTTGTAATTTTTCCACCGTAGTTATGGGCAAATTCAAGAGGGTTTTGGTTTTGGAAGTCGAGGAAGCCAAGGATAAAAATGCTGAAACTCCTGGTGGCAAGTACAGAAGGGACAGCCCCTGGCTCGTTGAGTCTTTCAAGAAGAAGGGTTTCTTTCTATTTTGTTATTTTTCAATTTTAATATTAAAAATGATTTTTTATTTGATATTTGTAAGCGTTTCCAAAGTATAAAATCGTAAGATAAACTAGAACTAAAAATGATTTTAAACAATTTACAAAGTTAGTAAAAATTTAGAATTAAAGATTAATTTACTATTTGCTAACTCACTTTAAACAACTTTGAAATTAATAAAAGGAGTTGAGTCAGACATTCTCTTCATTACCGGCAAAGACACTGCCGCTTCACTGAAAGCCAAGTACCCAGATACTGCTTTCCTGGGACGTGTCAATCCCATGGACTATCCAAGCATTTCCTTGAACCACTACGTGCAAATCCTGAACGATTTCAAAAAGGAGGGTATCTTGTTGGGTCCTGAAGCCGATCACATGGATCGTTTGGGAAGCAAAATGATCTTGTACGAGCTTAAAGACACCGGAATGGGAGTTAAGGGTAAGAGAATTTTTGTAATAATTATTTATATACCTGCGGTTATTCGTGTGGACTTTTCATTCGCACAAATTTGTAATTAAAACAGCAAAGTTATAAAATTTTAAACAATTACTTAAATAAATTCGTCAATAAGGAACTATTCTGCATTCGTACGATGCCATGAAGAAAAACGACGGCGAAATTGATAGAATCATCCCAAAAGGAGGACCTCCACGCGTGTTGAAGATGCTCCGTGGATCCACTGGTTTGGGAGTTTGGAAGCTGGAAAACAAAGATGACCACATCCTCATGACTGATGCTTACAACCAAACCACTAAAGAAATTGCCCGTAAAGATGTTATTCCTGAGTTTTTGGCCCTCTGCCAGGAAGATGCTATCAGTATGCCCTTCCTTCCTCTCATCAAGGATGGTGAATTCCGTTTCTTGCTCTCCAAACACAAGGTTTCTTTAATTTTTATTGAGTAAGAACATAAAGTAGAAACAGACGCGTAATTAATTGGGAAATAAAACAAATGATATTCGAATCATCCCGCCAATTAGATTCTGGAAGTCGTGCACAAGAAACCGGTTGACGAATCAGCATTCACTGCCACGTTGAGGTCCGGAGCCATCTACACAACTTTAGACTTGAACGAACACAAGTCTCTCGTCGACACCGTAGTTGCGTGGACCCACGAGTTGAAGACAACCTGCAAGTTGGATGATGTTCCATATTGGTGGTCAGTTGATTGCATTGAGGAAGAACTCGGACCGGAGGGACTGCAGCCTGGGCAGATTCCAAGCTCCAAAGCTGGTCGTCGTCTCGTCCTCTCAGAAATCAACTGCAGCTGCTTGGGACTCGTTGCCGATACTTCCGCTGAAGCAAAAGCCAAGGGTCTCAAGTTTTCCGACCTGATTGCCGATATCGTTCTGTCATAAATACCGTTTGACCATCAGCGGTTGCCGCGTTAGTCAATGGACAGCAAATAAATTAGAAATTTTTCAAGACTTACTCGTTGATTAGATGCATTAAGCGTTGCCAAATATTGTAATGTTGATGCGATGTCATGCGAATGAGGAATATTTTTATATCTTTTATAATTCAATTTACACTTTATGATTCGTTTGATTTTAAACAATACAATTAAGATATTCAATAGGTTATGAGTTTAACAATAACACCACTGCGATCTAAACTTTTTCAATTTCTTGCAATAAATTTATTTGTGAATAAAAGTGGAAAAACAAATTGAAAATAAAATAATCATTGAAAATGTAGTTAGTGACGTTGTTCAAAATAAAAACTCTGACAATAAAATATAGTTTAAAAAAATTCACACAATTTTCTTGTATACAACTTTAAAATGATGCAACAAACACCTATAAGATATAAGAAAAAAATATTTAACAACATCAACAGCGTATGTGGGTTTCTTCAATTCACCATCCAAGCACGCAAAACATCACAACCAGCAAGAATTATTCAATATACAATTGTTGAAATATGCACACGCAAAGAAATTGCGTCTCAAATACAAAAAAAACACATATCCACCGCACATAAAACAACATTAACTGGAGCAAGCAATATCTATGACACAGTATGCTGTCATTTATAAATAAATCGATAATTAAATAAATAAATTCATTTGTTCAAATATACGTCTTTAATAAAAGTTTATATACAAATAACGTGAAGTATGTATATGGGAAGATGGTGACATTTTGAGAAAAAAATGTTATGCTAAATATAATTATTAAGTTACTCTTCAATAATAAACCAAACTTCAAGCAGTTATGCATATGTAAATAAATTTAATTTAACCATCCAATGAATCCATAAAACTATCAGGCATCACACACACACACACTAACACACGCACGCACACACAAACCTATCACAATTAAAAAGTTTAAATCACATTATAACTTGAATCAATATCAAATTTACAAATATCGCTACCATCACACCCAAATAGTCTGTACACAGCCAACGGAATTTTAGTATATGAATTGAACTATAGCACTTTAAAACTTAATATTAGCAATAGTAGTAGTAGTAGTAGCCGTAGTAGTAGCAGTAGTAGTAGCCGAAGTAGTAGTAGCAGCAGCAGTAGTGAGTAAAGGAAGTAATATAAGGATCGAACAATCCCACCTAAAATCTCACATTATCCAATCGGAACTTATCACTTAATCCGTATCAGGTTATCAGTACTGGATAAACTTTCAGCCGCCGAAGACAGAGGCGAGAGTGAAACTTTAGAAGTGTCGTTGGTGTTGTAGTGTAGCTGGTGGTGGTGATTAGCGACACTTTTTGCGTGTCTACCAGCTTGGCGATTTCTAAAGAACGACGATCCCTGCGCAAATAAGACGACCTCATCGTCGTCGTTGTTGTGGCTGCTTTCGCCGCCACTGGCAAATGTGAAAGTGTTGCCGTCGGCAGTTGACGCAACAGGCGATGATGATATTTTTATGGTTTCTTCTGTCGTATGTGTGGAAAGTTGAAAAAAATTTTACAGGTGAGTTTGTTTAAACACATAAGTCACACACAAACATACACAAACAAACAAACAAAGACACACACACGCACACACACACACACACAAACATAAACCATATATAGATACACATATAAAATACATAAAAATAATGTGATTAATACATGAAATAAGCAGACTACATAGAACGGCTAATGTTATTTGAAAATAACATCAACAAAACGATAAAACTGTTAAATCTACGTTAGTTAAGTTGATGTAACGGTGATTTGGGAATGAGATAGTTGATGAAGAGAAAGAACATTAATAATTAATTGGTTAATTAATTAATTAACGAACTAACTAATTAACCATTAACCGATTAAATAACAGCTAATTATAAAAATTCATCAAAAATTTAAAAAAAAATTTACAAACTATATCAAATGACAACGCTTGAAAATGATTGAACAAATTTAAAAAGATCCAAGACTTAATAATTGTTAATTAGAACACTAATCCCAAATTTTAAGACCAAGTAAACATTTAGGAATGGTGCCAAGATAAGGTTTTACTCCATTTTCAAGTGCTATAGTTCAATTCCTATACCAATCTAGCACAATAATTTATTAATTAGTTCATTGACTTTTAATGGCACAATGATAATAAGGCATTTTAAAGAATTGATTGATTAATGAAGCGTGTGTATGTGTGTGTGTGTGTCCTGTTGTATGTGTGTGTGTACGTATAGGGTGTGCAAGCAAGCTCTTACTTCATATTAATAATCAAAAATCCGTATGGTGGATACTTCTGCGAGTTTAAAGGTAAAAATTGTAAATAAATTCTAAATATTAATTAATTAAATAAATAAACTAGAATAAATATTAAATAATAAATAAATAAACATTAAATAATAATTAAAGCTAACTGGTGAAATAGGTGGGGGTTATTTATGATTGCAATAGGAAATAGATATAATAAAAAAAAACTTGAAAAATTATCTTGAAACGTTTTCGCGTTAGCTCACAGATCAGGCGCTTCATAAATGTTACAACCGTATCATATTATGATCTAATTACCAAATAAATATAGAAAGGGTATTATTTTGAATAATTAAATGAATAAATTGAGACTACATTTTACGGGAACATTGAAAAATTTAAGGAGCAAATAATTTTGATTTAAAGCATTTAATGAAAAACAAAGAAAATTTTGAAAATGAAATCACACAAACACAGACACACAAACACAGACAGACAAACACACACACACACACACACACACACACACACATACATACATAGATAGATAAAAAAATCCTTAAAAAAAAGCCCATAGATAAAATAAAATCAAACAAAAACACAGAAACAAGCATATAACAACAAAGACAAAAAAATATAAAAAAATAATAAAACAAATTTAAAACTTCGCAACACCTAAATCCACTAATTCCCAGAAGGATTTTTTCCTTGGGAGTAAGAAGGGCACGCATGAGGCTACTGCAATGTGCCAAAAACTATGCGTGTATGGGTAATTTGTATCGTTCTCCAGGAAGGCAAATACAACAATACCGAGAAGGGCCAGTAAGATACCCGGTACCATCCAACGGTATTCCAATTTATCTGGGAAAAGTGATCTGGACTTGACTCCTTTCCATACCTGTGTGGAGGAACGGAAGGCGGAAGTTGTAGTTGGGCCATGCTTGGCGGAAGTGTAAAATTAAAAAAAATATGAAATGGATCACCAATTCACCCAATTACTCGTTCGTTTACTAATTCATTCATTCATCCGTTCATTCCCTCACTCACTCACTCACTCACTCACACTCACTCACTCAATCAATCACTCACTCACCCATGCAATGATGACGACAATGGAACCGGTGGCAATGGGGACAACGTTGGTCCAAACTTCATTGGAGCTATTGACAAAGATGGCAATCATCACAATTCCAACCGTAAGTAACGTGAGCAAGTGACCTGTTGTGGAAATATTATGAATATATGAAATTATAATTTAATTATAAAATTATAAGTAGGAAAAATAAATATTAGCGAGAAGCAGAATAGCCAAACAACTGCACCAAACCAACGACGACACGACGCCACACCACACCACACCACACCACACACAACAACGACAACTACGACCCCCAAAGCAACCACAACAGCCACTTTACCAGATTTAATCCTAGTCATGGCGAGCAGTGTCACCCAGAAGGAGAGCAGGGACAGTAAAAAGTCAGAGTACTTGTGCACTGAGTAGCGAACCACGCAGAATCCATAGACTGACCATGCACTCATGTCACATGCGTGGTAGAACTATTTATAAATAATAATACAATAATAATATAAATTATAATAATGTAAATAATAATAATAACAATAAGAATGTGAATGACGATTATGATGCTTGTAATTGTACGAACATCTGTATGTATATATATATATATATATATATATATATATATATATATATATATATATATAAATACATATCACACTCGTATAAGTATACTACTTCTTACAAACAAACGCACTCTTTCTTTCTCACTCTCTCTCTCTCTCACACACACACACAAACACACAGACACACACATAATACTAACTGTAGAAAAGACCATATTCAGCGTATAGACACAGAACTCGATGAAGCGCCATCTCTTGAAGGCGATAATCATGGCGGGAATAAACGCCAGGTTGCTACATGTTAACATTACGGTGTACCACATCTGTAGGCTGTAGCTGACCATGTTGGATTTGTCCTGGCATAAAAAACCTTGAAGCCCTAAAGATAAAAAAGAAGCCATTTATTTATTTTATTTAAAAATTTTACGGTTTAAATTAAATCAAAATACTTGAAAAAAAAATAATGACACGTTATACAGTGCCAAAAAATAATACGGATGATAGATTAGTCTCGTACGGTTATGCGTATGTTTGAAATTGTTTGTTGTCGGATGATTTTTTTGAATCATTGAGAGGCACACACACACGCACGCACACACATACACGCACGCACGCATGCACACACACACACGCACGCACACACACGCACGCATTCCCATGTTTAACCACACCAGATTGATTGGTGACATTTTCTGGACAAAGAAGAAACTTTAGTAGATCTGATTTTAACGTAAGAAAAGAAAAATTTGAAATTATTGATAAAAAATCATTAAAACGGTTTTTAAACCGGTACCTTTAAACCGGTACCTTTAAACGGTATTTTGAATTAGTATTAATAAGTTTTAAAATACGAAACGGGTAAACGAAATCTGCCGGCAGATAAATAGCAGCAAAAGAAATATGTATAATGTCTTTTCAGTAATTTCGCCGTAATACAAGTTTGAACTGGCAAGCTATGTTATTATAAATTTGCTATTAAGCATTAAATTAAGCAGCACACAACAGAAATACACAAACATAGAAACAAACAAACAAACGAATAGATGGAGAGACAGAGAAAGAGAAGAGAGAGAGAGAGAGAGAGAGAGAGAGAGAGAGAGAGAGAGAGAGAAAACGAACTTTTTCATTCAAGAAGAAAGGAACATATATGTTGATAACTTTCTTGTTGAACGCTTGCAGTGGATTAAACCTCTGATTAATGAAAGAATGATTAAATGAATGACAGTGCAAATGAGATTATAAACAAACTTTTGATTGGATGACTGACTGACTGACTGGACGAATGAACGAACAATCAAGTGAACAACAACATACAATAGAACGATGAACACGAACGAACGAACGTGTTAAAACGTGAACATTAATAACATACCTATGTAGATCTCAAAGGTAGGACTTCGAAAACGCTGATCATAACAAAAGAACGAATACATGCCACTCGAAAAAAACGAATAAAGTATCATTACACTTATAATATTATCATTATTAATAGTACTAGTTATCGTAATTATTTTTTGTTATAATAATTTCAAAAGTTACGAATACATGTTTATAAAAATGCACAATAGCATATGGACAAAGCCAGACATGCAGCAGTTAAACGCACGAAATATTCACATAGCTAAACTACAATTAAAAAGCAAATTTTTACATACAAAAATTACTTCTTACAAAAATAGATAGATCTAAATAAATAAATGAATGATTTTTTAGTGGGGAGGCGATAGGCTGGGGCCTGTAGGGCTTACCAAGCTCAACTCTCTCAGAGGTGGGTGAATTATTTTCACAGAAAAATCCATTAAAACCTAATGAATTATAAAATAAAAACAATTAATTGAGATTTTTGTATCAAGACTAGACTGGGAATTTTAAAAAAGTTAATTATCTTTTAGTAATTTATTCATTAACAGAGAACAATCTTCTCATGTTGGTTTATCATTGTGAGCATAAATCTGCATCCAGCCGAAAAGATTACGTTCAAGTTTTTGTAAGAATAAACACATACACACACACTCACATACACATACGTATATGTACACACACACACACATACACACACACACACACGCACACACACACATACAAACATGGATAAACGGATGTGATTCTTATAAGAATGCCAATTGCTGGATAAAATGAATATTTGTTAGGTGACATGTGTCTAATGTAACAATAGAATAAGTTACTATGAATAAAAATATTCATCTATATATATATTTATCTATCTATTTATTTTATTTATTTATTCGTTTATTAAAATTCTAGCCCGCATATGTATATCACAAATGACAAAACGATGTACGCAGTGTATAACAATAAAATTAAAACAATGTCTCGCCATCGTTGGCTAAAGAGAGAAGAGAGATAGGCACATGAACAGATAGACAGACAGAGGAAGAAGAAAAAGAGAAATAGAGAAAGAAAGAGAAAGAGAAAGAAAAAGAGAGAGAGAGAGAGAGACGAAAGTACCAACCTGCACTGCAGACACAAAAGGAGAGGTAGTAAGGTCCTTTCTCGACGAACCTGCAGACGCCATTGTTCTCACACTGCTTGTTCAGACAGGAAGAGATGTGGGCGCTAACCAACACCCCCATAGACGGGTCCCTACATGATGATGATGATGGTGATTAAGGCGGTGATGATGATTATGATGGGTAGAGATGAGGGGTTGTGGTGAAAGTCGGAAATTTTATAATAGAAAAAGATTAAGAGTATATAGATACATTTTCGTTTAAATTTAAACTGTGCTAGGTTGAAAGACTACAGACTCCAACGCAAACACACACGCACGCGCGCACACACACACGCACACAAACACGCACGCACACACAAACTTACTTCAACTCATAATGACTGACATTCCTCAATCCATCAGTAACCAGAACCTTTCTAAGTAGCTCATTAACAGAAACCTCCCTATCCTTCAACATCCTCTCCAGTGGGTTGGTTGTGGTCGTAGTGGCAGACCCCTCTCCTCCAGGGCCGACACCACCGCTACCACTCCTCATCTTTCTTTCTTCCTCAATGACACTACCCCTATGCTTGACATCCTCGAAAGACTCGTTAGTCCATTCCTGGAATCCGATATAGTAGATCCCGGATTCCGGATAGGGAACGTAGATGAGGTGATGGGAATTGTTGTCATTGAGGATTATGAGGGAGCCTGGATCTCGGCAGTGGAGTCTGTTGTCGGTTGTGACAGTTGGATAGTCTCGCTGGATGCATACTGCTGCCTGAAACTCTTTTGGTGACTGTGGTAGATTTGTTAAATTCTCAAGCGAGAGACATGCCGGTAAGAGTTAACACAAGTTCAATAAGCATGTATAGTTCGCCGTTTTATGTTCTAACTTGTTAATACATCAAGTAATGACTAATAAGCAAGCCAAACGTTCACCAAAGAACATTGAAACAACCAAAAAACAGACAATTCAACCTTTTGAAAATCCAAAGAAAGTGGAATAAGAGTAAACTCCATAACTAAAGTACCGCCAACATCCCTCATGACGTCAACATCAAATGTTGTCATGGTGACCAGAGATGGGCGGGGTATAAATAGGCTGTCGGCTTCGTTGAAAATCGTTTGGTATACGGAACTTTGGAAGGAATCGGTTTCTATGTTTGATTTTAATGGCGTTGTCATGTAGCAGCTTATATCAGACGGCGATGATGACGAAGATGATGACGAAGGTGGTGACGAAGATGGTGACGAAGATGGTGACATTGATGATACAATATCACGAAGCTTTCCCGTTTTGCAGTCTGTTTAAGTAAAAAAATATGACAGTAAATAAATAAATAAACTAATTATTAATAACTAAAACAATAATACAAGTATTGAGAAGAATAAGAATAATAAAAAATAAAAATAACTTGCCATATAGAGATACCAGTGCATCAAATTCAATGCTTGAGTTGTCAAAAACTGCACCAATACCGTCATATACAAATGCAATGTATTGCCAGCTGTTAATGCTAGGAGAAAATACCTCAAGATAGGAATCGTTTTTAATGTTATTGCTGTCGTTGTTAGCTAAGATGTTGATGTCATTTTGGCTGTTGTTGTTATTGCCAGCAGCGCCGTATATAGTAATGTAATGTGAGTTGTTGTTAGCTTCGCTAGAGTTGTCGTCGGTGTTAGGTATAGCCTTGCTCTTGAACAATATTCTGAAATTGCACTGCTCTTGTTTGCAGTTGCTTATGGTTACTCTGTATTTATATGTTGTTCTTGTTGTCAGGAATCTGGAATAATGACGTCATTATTCGCAATCGTTACTACTAACGTATTTTCATCATCGTCGTCGTCGTCATCATCGTCGTCATAATAGCTATGGAAGTCTAACTTGTAATAAGTGGTAATGTTATCATACAATCTGATGGTGGTAGCAGAGTTTGCTAGCAAGATGCTGACGTCACCAATGTAGAATGTTATGTTGCTCTCCAGGCCATGATCACATACTGACAGGTCTAACTGGATGATGTAGATGATGATGAGGACGACGTTGATGATGATGATGGTGATGACGACGGAGCAGCAAACCAACCAACCAACCAACATACAAACCAGCAAACCAACCAACCAATCAATCAAACAGCCAACCAACCTTTTTAATAACTTCATTATTACTCCTCTCCATGACCCCACCAAGAAACCACTGACCATACACTGGTCGATGGAATTCAATGGTCTTCCTGTGGGTAACATTATCTTTCAGAAGACCTGTCCTATTTACCAGAAATTTGTCGGTAAATGTCTCATTACCATCGAACTTCTCGACGGGGAACGAACCATACTGAGCATATCTGGTGGAGAGGAAGAAAGATTGTGGTCGTTTGTGGTAAAAAACTTCGCTGGTAGCAAATTTTAAAAACAAAGACTTTTAAAAAAAGTTATTTAACGTCATACTGTCATTTATATATTTAGAGTTCCATGTCGTTAATTATCATTTATCTGTAAATGTCATTGATCTATTGATCATTCACCACTAAAAATGCCATGATGAAAAAATGAATAAAGACAGAGATGAAGAAGCGAATAAAATAAACGAACAAACAAACAAACAAATACTCAATAATAAAATAGCAAACTAACATAAAGACCATCCTTTCATAGCACTTGGTCTGAGATCTGTTGACCGAAACATTCCAGACAGCTTTAAATGTGTCAGGAGGAATGTCTATTGAGAATGTTTGGACACTGCCAAAATTTCTATAAGAATAAACTGGCATATTTTTGTAGAATGTTGTTTCTTCTGTAAAACCTTTTGTGAAATTATAAAATAATATTAATGATATTATTTTGTTAGTTGTATATTGAATAAGTAATTAATCTTAACTTAAAAAAATTTATTAAATCAAAATGATATAAGTTTAATTAATTTGAATAAAACATATTAAATTAAATAAATTAATTAATTATTAATCTTATTATTTATAAAATTTTATAAAACTATATTCTATAACAATAAAATAGATAAAGATTTAATTTAATTTAATAAATCAATATTTTAATTTAAAAAAATTAAATTTAATTCTTCAATGAATTTTCCTAAACAGTAAACTAAGTTATTAGCACTATTTAAAAAATTAATTAAGTTAAAGTTAAAATTAAAATTGATTTTAAAAATTTTGAGTATCAATTAGATAACAAATGACATTAATTTCTTAATTAATGAAGTTTTCTAACTAATTAACTAATTAAAAGTTAAAATTATTAACTTATTTATATAAAATTTTAAAATATCAATTAGAAAACAAATGACATTAATTTCTTAATTAAACAATATTCTAAAAAAGATATTTTAGTATTTAAACTTAATAAACTGAAACTAAACTAGAAAACCATCATAAAAAATGAGTAAATTAGTAAACTAACCATAACTAATTGAAGGTAGTAGCATAAAATATAGAAAAAGTAGCATTTTATAATTTTATCGATTTTAGAAATTTAATATTTGTTAAAATAAAAAAATGTAGACACTTAAAATAAATGATTTAAAATCCCTGAAAAATTTTAAATTATTTAAAATTTAATTATCGTCCGTTCTGTTTAGATTAAAATTTTTATCCTTTTTTTATGAAAATAAAACTATTAATAATCTCATTTAAAACGTATTTAAACTATTTTTTTAGCGATTAAAACATATATTTGAATATTAAATTTCAAAATTAGAGGCTTAACAATTCTCGCTGGCAATATTCGGGTTTAGTACCCGTTAGTACCTTGGTTTAGTTGCGACTTATTCCATAAACTGTTTACTCTTTGTTGTTTACTAGGCGATAAAATGGCTGCTGATGAGGTAGGAATTATTGTAATTTTTATGTATAGACCCCTCTTTACCTTAAATAATTTAAAAAATGCAGGATTTAAAAATGCGTATCTCACTCGCATGCGAAGGAGCTGAGAATTTTGTAAAATTTTACTACGAAAGATTTGATAAAAGCCGGCATGTAAGTAACTTCTATGTATTTTGTATTTATAATTATAAATTATAATTAATATAATATAATTAATAATTAGAATTTCAATTAGTTCATCTGATTTCAGTTTCATATTTATATTTGACACTGTTTTGGGGTATCTTATGGAACTGAATGTTAATCACTTTTAGACAAAACTTAATGAAAGCTTTTTTGTGTTTCTGTTTTCATAAAATTAATTAAGTAAGTAAAATTAAGTAAGTAGATCATTAAGAACTTTGCTCTTTACATTCCACAACAGATTGTTTCAAAACTATACAGCGTGGATGCAAAATTAATATGGGAAGGTAATGCCGTGGTTGGGTTGGACAGCATAGCCAAGTTCCATGAAAATCTCCCCACGTCACTCCATGTTGTCGAAACAATCGACGCCCAACCAATCTCAGGTATTACATATTTTATATTTAAAACATTAAATCAAAAGAAGTGCTCACATTTAAAATATATATATTAAATTTTCTTTATCCTTATCTCAAGGTTTTGCAACAAATGGTCAAGACACATTTGTAGTTGTAACAGCTGGCACTGTTAAATTCCATGATAACAAACCAAGAAGCTTCTACCAAACATTCACCGTCACATCCCTTAACAGTAAAGATTGGAAAGTCAAATCGGACTGCTTCCGATTAATGCCTATTGACACTAAATCTTGATTCATTTTTCTTGTATATGTATAATAGGTTTTAATGTTTTACTCTATTTTTATTTAATTAAATATACTAACAAAATTGAGAGGAATATATGTATTTTATACAGAATCAAATATGAAAATTATTTTCTATACACTAAAAAGTTATGACTAAATACAATTTGAAAGTAGAAATATTTTTAAATATAGCTAACTAAATAAATACAAAAATGCTAAGGCACAAATTTGCACACCTCGAATTGGTGTTTGTGTAGGTATCGTTTCTGAGCAAAAGCTCTCTGGCATCGTTCGCACACAAATTTCTTTCCTATGACGGTGTGTATGAGTGTGTGGGACCGCAAATTCGACTTGTCGGCAAATGCCTTGCTGCAGCCCGGGTGATGACACTTGTAAGGTCGTTCACCTGTGTGGGTCCTCATGTGACCTTTCAATAACCACGACCTTGAAAAATGTTTGTGGCATACTGGGCATCTGTGGGTCAGTTGGGTATATAAATCATTTTTGAAATATGAATTGAGCAATTAGTTGTTTGACAATTTAACTGGTTACTAGTAGCCTAGAGAAACAAGAGTCACAAATTAACCACCTATTTTTAGCTTGGTTATGACTAGCAATGACATGATCGCAGAAAGCAGAAAAGTTACTAAAGAGCTTGCTGCATGATTTACACCTGTGTATCTGTACACCTGCATTGTCATACACGTGCTCGTGACAACTTCTAATTAATTTCTGAACTTCCGATTCCTTTTCTAGGCAGCTGTTGATGCTGGCAGCGGGAGGTACAATTGAGGAACTACTCGATGGTTTCATGTCGGTGCTGTTTGTGCTGGTGGTGAAATTGTGTTCTTTTGTTTTTTGCTTTGGAGACGAAAGTAAGAGATCATCCATTTGATTCTTTGTGGATTCAATGGTTGACATGTTGGTGAGGATGCTTTTTGTGAACCAGTTTGGCGTGTTGATTTTCAGATCATTGACTAGATGATAAGACGGTTGAGATTTCATTGAGTTGTTGTTTTGCTGATTCAACCAATATAATGGCATGACTGAGCCATTTGAAACTCTGAAGAGTGACCAATTTTTTTTATCTGCAGTCAGAGAATTGACAGTGGTAAGGGGTGTACATAGATTAGTTGAGGTTGTTACAGTGGGAATTGACCTTGGGAAAATAATATTGGATCTTGAGTAGCTTAATGCTGTTGGTAAGAATGAATATGTATGTGATTTAGACACGCAGATGGCATTGTGCTCATCGTGGTTCGGTTGAATGATAATGGGCAAGTTAATTGGATACGTCAGAGATGTTTTCTGGTCTGTGCTTTTTAAAATTATCAATCTACTTTTTGAGTTTATTTTCTTATCATCTAAATTTTCATCCAACTTTTGATGATTGATTCTTTGCAGATGAATTGTTGATTGATTTTGCAGGTTGATAGAATGTCCCATTGATGTGCCATTGAGAACCTGTTTCGATGGTTCATTGTTCATCTTGTTAGACAGTAACTTGGATTGATGATTCTTTGCCAGCATTCTGTGAAGCTGAACAAACGAAACACAATTCTTAATCAGTTTTAAGTTTACAAGAAATAGACATAATTGATTACAAGCATCATAATTTATACCTCTGAATACGGACATTTTGTAAAAGTCTGTCTCAGTCTGTGCAAAGTTATTTTATATTCAGTAAAGTCATCTTTTTCCTCAATGTTGTTGAGTGATTTTTGAATGTCTTTCATTGAATTGTTACTTGGCATGCATTCATCTTGCCTGGATAAGTTTACAAAAATTCATAATTTAATCAACTAACAACAATTGAAAAAATAGAAAAGCAACAAATTGTTACAAATTGACAATAAAACTCTACCTAAAACTGTCAATGAAAGATGCTAATGTGTTTGGAACTGTTATCATTTGTTCTTTTGATCTGTTTATTAACTGACATCTAGTGACCAAAGATAGACCGTCCATTACCTCACTTTTAGCAATAACCCACTTTTTTGATTCTAAATAATTAGTTTGGGCACGATTTTTGTTGTTGAAATGAACTGTTCTTTTGTAACTGTAATGAGGATTGTAGCTGTGCCTGTCTTTTATCCAGTTTGTGGAGCCGATTTTCATTTTATTGTGAAAGAGTATGTTTTTGAAGATATGGGAATGATTGGAGTGACGCACGCCAGCGCGCAGAACATGGCCCGAACGTGTCCAACTCAAAGTTTTAGGAGAATCTGAAATTTCATTGTCAATTTATCATCGAAAATCTTTACAATTCACATCTTATCTTAAACGAATTTCATTCTAGAGAGAATAAAATTTGTAGTTTTTTTGTTAGAAATGAACCAGAATGTGAAAAATAAAATAATAATTGAAGAGGGCATCATCGCACCAGCGGTCCTTGAATCACTTGGCTTTTTCTTATAACATCGGGCGACATTCATCAACTGTCTAGGCATTGTTAACTGAATTTATTGAGATAATTGAGAAATTTAGGAATTGTTAAATCATCTTATAACATCACAAATGCAGACAAAAGTTATTTTGAATCGCTACACTGAAGCGATCAAATCAATAACTTTTGACGTAACGGGTAACTGTTACGGTTACTACGCGCTATTTAGAGTCGAAAAGCGCTTTATTCTGCTATTGGCGTTGAAAATTTTGAATATTTCGCCAATATTTCAACCTCTTTACACTGTTTAAAGCGTTTTATTACATCTAAAAATGAGTTTTTCAACGTAAAAATAACTTATAAATGATGTAAACTCGAGGAAACAACGATTTAGAATGAATTTTTGCCCGCTTGTCGATTGTTTACTGTTGAATCTTCAAAACACTGAAAAGACATCATCAACATCATTACATAGGAAGGCTTTGTAATACAAAATAGAAAAGAATAAATAATAAAATTAAAAGAAACTTATAAAAACAGCAAATAGTAATGCACATCTAGTTACAAAGTTCATTGAAGAAAGTTCATTCAAATCATTTAAAATAAGCTGCATTTTAATAGTCATCTTATAACATTGCTGAGGGCATAAAAAGAACATGATCCAAAAGAATTATACGTTTCAGACTAGCAAAATAAATTTTCAAATATATATATATATATATATATATATTATAAGGATATATATATATATATATATATATATATATATATATATATATATATATTATAGATTTTAAAAAAATTAATTTGAATCAGTGAGATTGTTGCTGGAATGAGCAGGCATGAACAATTGAAAAAAATATGATTGAATAGTTTCTTCTAATGCACTATTCATTCAGACTATGGAATCATTTGATGCTAATTTTGGAACCACTGCCAGCCTGGACCTATCAAATTTTTGAAAAAAATTAATTATTTTTCACAATTTATTTGAAAAATATCTATTTAATTATTACATTTGACAATGTCAGTTACAAATTATAGATAATTAAAAGCATAAAATGAAAATTAAATTTCATCAAACTAAAAACTAATCAATCAGCTAACCTTATCCTTAATGATGTGATCCTGAATATCATTCTTATGTGAGAACATCATGGTGACATGAGCAGGACTGAACAGCTTTTCAATTGGACCAGCATAGGCTGATAACTTTCCTTTTGTCATTGGCTTAACTTTTTCACCAATCCTAGAATAAATTGAGTTTACAAAATTAAAAAATTACTATATGACATCTTTACATAATTTCAGGTTAGAAAGAGAAAGATTATCTGTAGTGAATGTCTAGACGTACCAATATATGTAGACAAATTTGACGGTTTGGATGGAGTCATATACATCTGACGTTCTAAAAAGAGCAAACTGGACCTGGTCATCTTGCAGATATCCTTTCATTTCATTCAAATCACTCACACCTGTAGCCAGTACCTTAGCAAAAAATCGAGATAAGATCAAAATGAAAATTTCAATTTGAAATTTTTCTACACAACAAAGGTGCATGTTGATGATGGAGCTAAATTAAATTAAACTCAGGTAATAAATGGATGTCTTTTAATGTAGAAGTATATATCTATTTAAATATCTACCTATAAATACATACACATGAATGAATGCATTATTAAGTGCAGTATAAATACAATTTACAATGATTCCAGCATTTCAACATAAATTTCTGAAAAAATTTAAATAGTGTACCTATCAAGAAACCAATTTTAAATTTCACTTTATAAAAGTAAAAAAGGACCATTAAAAAATTAGAAATATCTATGTAAATTTCAAAAAAATGAACCACTTACCTCTAATGGCTTTTTGATATCACCGTTCTGAAAACCAGTTAGCACCCATGCAGTCTGCGTATCATCTCTCCTTACATCATTTATGGCCTCAATAAATTCCGGACTAACCTAATTAACATAACAATAAAAATAATAATTACAAATAGTAATAATAAATAATAGAAAAAAGAATCAATTTATAAAAATGAGTCCAAAATGGTAAAGAAAAAAATATAAAATTTTTCAAACGCCATTTTTTATTTAAAACTGTAACTAAAAAATCAAGAACAACCCGCTAACTTCAACATTGATACCAGCCGGAGCCACAGATCTTGGTTCAGTCCTGGCCTGGGGCTTCAAGGAATGTGCCGTAAATCCACGTTCCTGTCTGCCAGCCGTCGATCCTTCTATTACTTTATTCCTAGTCCCACTTGACTCCTCCAGCTAAATAAATTTATATTTTTTCAACAATTTTTAATTTAAAAAGATAATAGAAGTTAGTTTTAACAACAGTTATGATGTTTTTAAAAGTATTCTATATTTTAATTTGCATAAAATGAATGAAATGTTATTTTATATAAAGAATTATAATAGATATACATATATAAATTGAAAAAAAATTAAGAAGAAACAAAATCATGATAATTGCAACTAAAAATACAAAAATAAAATTCTTCACAGTAGAAAACACACTCAAAGATATAAAAAAATCCTAATTTTAAAAGTGAGACAACAGTCAACCTTCTTAATAATGTTTTCCTCAGTCAGATCATCCAGTGAGCCAGTTTCAATGAGTAGATGGTAAGGAGTGAAGTACTCTTCCACACTGCCACTCACCACTCCATATCTCCCTTTTTTAGCAAATGGAACATGTTCACCAATCCTTTTAAAAGAATTTATAGTATTGTGTATTATAGTATATAGTATATATTTATATTATTTATAGTATATAATTCATTGTGATTGTTAGTTACATTATTAGTGTTCTATGTAGTACTAATTATTTAATAGTATTACTTGAGTAACATCAAAACTTCAATAGTTAATTTTGATCTAATTTAAATTGAAAGTATCATTATTATAATATAATTAATAGTATCATTAGATAATATAAAAAATCAATTAAAAATTACAAGTTACAAATTTTCTATGCAACAAAAACAAAACAAAGAAAATAAAACAAACTGACCAGTGGATGTAAACAAATTTAACAGTGTTTGACATGTCGAAAGTCGTGGTCATACGTAGCAGGCAGTACATGACCTCATCGTTCTTCAGGTAGGAACAAAATGTCCCCAGAGACGAATCCGTGATTTCGCTAGTTGCCGACACATCGATACTTTGAGGATTTTGATCAACATGACCAACGATCACCCAGGATTTTCTGTAAATTTCGCCTTGGTCCGAACGCACGTCCGCTAATGCTGAACGTAACTTGTGGGGGTCCAACGGTTCGGCTCTCGTCCCCATTTCAGGTAAGTTCGTTTACGAAAAATTTGGTTTTAAACAGAAAATTTTTAAATTCCGGTTACGAGACCAGGAGGTGTGAATGTATTAAAATTAAAAGTGAATTTCAGTTTATAATAAAGCACGACGTCTATGAATAATTTAATTTAGTGAAACTCAGTTTTCGGTTTTCTCATGCGTTAAGTTTAATTCAAATTTTGCATTTACAAATGTGTTGATAAAATTTTGTTTAAAGAATTTAACAAAATAAAAAAATGTTCAGTAGAATAGGTTTATTGATTTACCGGATTTGTTAATTTTTTGGTAAAGTTTTTAAAACGAAAATTTTTTACAATTCAATTAGCAATGGGCTTGCAGTTATTAAACGGTTTTAATCATGGATATATATATATATATATATATATATATATATCCATGGTTGTTATTCAATTGATTTGGAGATTAGACTAATTTGAAAACAAAGAGAGTTATTGACGAAACCGATAACGAAAATTAGGAAGGTGATCTATGGTATCTAAGTTTGTAAACAATGTAAAATGGCGGATTTAACTGAGCACTAGGGCGCCAAACGTTTGCAGATGACCTAATTTGTATAAAATTGAACTTTTAAAACTGAATAAAGTAGTCTTAATATTTCATAATATAAAGAAGAAAAGGTAATTTGTAAATGGATTAGTTATTTGCAGGATCGCACGCGTTCGTTGTTGAAAATCGTCATTCTTTACGTTTTTGTTGTGTTGTTGTCATGCGGTTGCGTCACAGAAAAGCAAAAACATTAAACAATTTTTTTAAATAATTCAAATTTTTGACGTTGTTATTTCACTTTTTCATCTACGTTTAAAGCTTGGGGTGTCAGTAAAGTTTCGTTGAAATGTTTGAATTGAATTGAAATCTTGGATGACTGTTATTTTTCTAATTAATTTTATAAATTTATTATTAATTTTTAAATTTTCTCTCAGATTTGTGACTAAAAGATGAACAGATCCAGTTATGAATCAGGTAACAAAAATAAACAAACTTTCTTAATGATGTCTTTTGTTTGTTTGTTTGTTTGTTTGTTTGAAATTTATTATATATAAATATTATTAAATTATTTCCTTTTTATTTAATAACTAATAATCATTTAAAATTCATATCTGGAATTTTTCAATGTTAAACATTCGTCCTATTATTATTATTTAGCTTAGTAATAAGCTTAATAGCTTAAATGTTCTATTATTATTATTTATAGCTAAATAATTGTTCATCTTAATTTCAGACTCTGATATTAGCATTTCGTCGGGTCATAGTTCAAGAAGATTAACATTATATAGTGATGATAAAGAAGGTTACTTAGCTAAAGTTCATTTTAAAAATCTTTCCTTTAGTTATGAGAAGCTAACTCTTATTCATGGTACTTCTACTACTACTACTACTGCTACTACTGCTGCTGTTGCTGCTGTTAAATTGTAATATTTCTGTTGTTATCATTATATTAAACTATAATTTAAAAATTTTTTTTAGGCCCATCTACAAACAAGTTGAATTTCCTTAAAAATCCCAGCAGCAACAACAACAATAATGGCAAGCATGAAAAACCAGCTGAAGTTAGAAACAAATTTTTTTATTCTGTAAATATAATCACATCATATAAAAATAATTATACTATAATTAGTATATAACAGTAGTTATGTTATGTAAATAAGTAACAATTGCAACAGCCCCCACACATAAACTTTCCTAATTGGACACCAGTTATTCAGAAAAGACCTAATTAGCGCCATGAAAATGGCTGACACCGAGGTTCTTCACCCGGAGGATTACATGCTGATTGCCGATCCCTGGAGACAGGAATGGGAACGAGGAGTCCAGGTTCCTGTCAACTCACAAATTCTTCACGCTTCTAGAGTTAGGTGGGTACATGTGTGTTTGTATGTGTGTGTGTTTGTTTCTTTTTTTGTGTATGTGTGTGTGTGTGTGTGTGTGTGTGTGTGTCTTTGTGTGTGTCTGTGTGTGTAGACTAATTTGAAAACAAACCAAACAAAATTTATTTATATTTGAAATTTTGTTTGACAGTCCAATAAAAGAAAATGAACACCTGTATGGATATTATGGTTTCAAATTGTGAGTTTTTTATTTATTTATTTATTCATCACTCATTCATTCATTAATTCACTCATTCATTCATTCATTCACTAATTAATTCATCTACTCACCACAACAGGCCAAAGAAGTTGCTACACGCGATGCCTGACGACCAGTACAAAGTCCCCATGCACGAATTACACGAGACCCACAAACTGGCGGAGGAGGTGTGCCGGTACGACCTCGATGACGTCGATATTCATTGGCTGAAGATTTTCAATGAGCTTAAAAGTGAATTCGGTTGGTTGTTATTATGATTATTAGTACTGATTTTTTAGTGGTAGTAGCAGTTGTAGTGGTGTAGCAGCTATAGCACATCATTTTTTTTATTATTATAAATATTATTTTGTCGTTTCCATCACACCCGATGCATTCAGGTCAGCTGGAGCTCCCTGATTGGCTGATGGAAAAATTGATCGAAGAACTGGAGAACAGATGCTATTCCGGGATCAAGGCAGCTGAGGCGATGGGCATGGAATACGATGAAGATACATTCTGTGATGTCTGCAGACTGGTTAGTGAATTAGTGGATAGTTGGATGGGTGGATGAATGAGTAGGGAATGAATAAATGAATGGCTGTTTAAGGTTATGATTAAATGAATAAATGGATGAATGAATGAATGAATGAATGAATGAATGAATGAAGAAACAAGTGAATGAATAAGTTTAATATAAATAATTGTTTTTCTCGTCCACAGCCGGATGTAGAGGAAGGCAACGAAATGGTGTTCTGCGATGGATGTGATGTTGGAGTTCACCAGGTATTTAATTGCAACTTGTCAATCAAACTCTTTAATTGATTGATTGATTGATTGATTGATTGATTGATTGATTGATTGATTGGAAGATTAATACACACGCCTTCACCACACATGCATAACGTACACACACACCATACATATACATACACGCGCACACACACCACACACACACCACACACACACACATTTACTCTTAGGTCTGCTATGGTATATTGAAGATACCCAAGGGTAGTTGGGTGTGTAGGGCATGCGCGGTGGGTCTCAAGCCCAGGTGCGCCCTCTGCACGACTCAGGGTGGTGCCATGAAGAGTACCAAGTATGTATGCTTCGATCTTTTAAATATATCCTCCCTTTTTATTCATTTTATTTTAAAATTTATTTTAATTAAAAATTTCGTTTAAATTTTCATCTCAGTTGATCTTTGAAGATATCAACGGCACACACGCGCGCACACACACACACACGGGCTATGTGCAAGTGTGCGTGTGTGTGGGTAGGTGCGTGTTCGTGTGTGTGTGTGAGTGCGTGTTCGTGTGTGTGTGTGTGTGCGTGAATTTATTCACTATTTTATCATCAGATGATTAATGAATAAATGTATTCACTGATAGTTTTAAATAATTTTGTTAAATCAATAAAAATATATATAATTTTGTTAAATCAATAAAAATATATATATATATTTGTCATCCGTAATTAATTATAATTTTTCATAATAATGAAATAATTATAACAGGGATGGCTCTCAGTGGGCACATCTCTCCTGTGCCCTCTGGGTCCCGGAAGTCACAATCGCGTGCTCGGACAAAATGGAGCCCATCGATAACATTGACGATATTCCTGTTAAGTGCTGGAGTTACTTTTATTCTTTATATCAGTATAATGATGATGATGATGACGATGATGGTGACGACGACGATGTATATATATATATATATATATATATATATATATATATATATATATATATTTATATATATATACTATTGGGATTATGATGATGGTGATAATGATAATAATGATGATGACGATGACGAATGAGGACGACGACGACGATGCTGATGACGATAATTGCAGATGACGAGGTGGAACTTGATCTGCTGTGTGTGCAAGGAGAGGTCGGGTGCTTGCATACAGTGCTGCGTCAAGAAGTGCAAAACTTCATTCCATGTGACCTGCGGCTTCAAGATGAACTACCACATGAAACTTAACCTCGAAGATAACGATAAGGAATTACAGTTTAAAGTAACTGTCATTATTCGTTAAATTATTAATTTAATTATATTTGGGAAAGATGAGAGAGAGAGACAGAGAGAGTGAGAGAGAGAGAGAGAGAGAGAGAGAGGGAAAAAGGGAGAGAGAGAGAGAAAGAGAGAGAGAGAGGTAGACTAATTAGAGCAATAATCAAAATGACAAAAAATCTTTAACAGGCTTACTGTGGGGCTCATTCCCGAAACAAGGACTCGTTGACGCCAACAAAGACGTCACAGACAGATGATGGCAGTTCTGAAGGAAAAAAAATTGCTGAAAAATCTAGAAGGTTAATTTGTTGTGTCGGTGTTTGTTGTGTTGTTTTTTGTGTGTTACATTGTTTGTTTGTTTGTTCATTTGTTTGTTTGTTTGTGTTTTGTTCTGTTATAATTTCTTTGCTTGTTAATTAATCATTTAGTTGTTTGTTTATTCTTCTGGTTGATGCAAATTAAATAGTTGAAATTTCATCATTTTCATCATCAATTTTCCAGGCTACGAAAGATTGTTGATGAATTTTACACTTATGTAAACGTCAGAGAAGTTGCCAACACGGTCGGGGTTGACCTTGAAACGGCCTCATTTGTATTTGAGTACTGGAAACTCAAAAGAAAGGTTTGCATCTACTCTTTTATCTACACATATTACGTATTTAAAAAAATATTTCCTCAACAACAACAACGACAGCATACAAAAATACCCCAATCAACATGACCACCAACCTGACCGCCACCACAAAAACGTCACAACCACCCCACCCCGACAGTCGAACTTCAACAAAGCACTCCTGACCCCAAAAATGGAAGAGGGTGACATATTGTTGAGGCAGAGGCAAGATAGTTTGATGGCCAGATTGAGAATGTTCATTCATTTGAGACAGGATCTTGAAAGGGTAATTAATAATAATCGCGTAATTATGTTAATATGATATAATTAATTCATAATTTGGTAATATTGTAATATAGTAATTGTGATGAAAGTAATTGGAGTTTTCATCACAATTACTATCGATTGATTGATTGATTGATTGATTGATTGATTGGTTGATTGATTGATTGGTTGATTGATTGATTGGTTGATTGATTGATTGGTTGATTGATTGATTGATAGTAATTGTGATGTAAACACTCTCTTTCTCTTGATAGGTACGCAACTTGTGTTACATGGTGACAAAACGTGAGAGGACGAGATGTCAACTTCATCAGACGAAGCACAATTTGTTCATGCAACAAGCTGATGCCCTTCACAAGAACGTACAATCTCAGAAACTCAGCAGCAGCCACATCAGTAGCCACGACAGCAACCACCATAACGGCATTGGCGATGGTACTGATTGTAAATCTCTGTCATTAAACTATAAGATAATAAGTCAAGCTCACAAAATTGATGAATCCATCTATGACAAACCAGCTGACATTCGACGAGCTGCTCGAATCTATGAAAATCGACTTGCCTCTGAGCCTTTAAACGAGAGTGATGATGAAGGCGATTTCAAATACAACTTCTACTTTACGTCGACTCAAAATAATTCTAACAGTAATAATGCCAGGTCTTATTGTTCCAGTATGTCTGCAGTGTCCAAAGGAATGACTGAAAAACGTTTGTCTATCAATGACTTGTTGAAATGTCAGCAGAGCAAAACCGTTAAGAAGTCAAAAAGTTCAATTGGTTTGAAGCAGCAGAGTAATATTGGTAGTAGTGGTAAGAAAGTTGCTTCACCTCACTCATCTCTGTCCACACCATCTCTCCTAGCGTCGCCATCCTCATCTTCATCTGGCACGCTGTCAGCCTCTGCATCAGCAGCTGCATCAGCAACTGCATCAGCTAATAAAAAGTTGTACAAAACAGATAGAAAAAGTTTGAGCCATCACGAGAACCCTTACGCTAAATCTTACAACAATTTCGCTTGGCTGCTACTCAGCAACAGGAAGAAAAAACAATTAGAAGAAGAGAGGATGGCTGAAGTTAATGCCAAGAAGCAAGAGGAATTAGTGAATGTGGAAAAGGACGGGGGCCTTGAGGAGGAGAATGTTGGACAAGTTACAGAAAAATTGAACTATACCTCAAAAAATGAGACCCAATTTGTAAATGCTGCAACTGATGAAAAGTTTGAAGAGAAACTTGAGAAGAAACCAAGTTCAGGTAATGATGATGAGGCTACGCCCGTTCAACGAGTTGATGCGAGATTGAATGTAAACGAAAGCAAGAAAACTGGCGACACCTTGCCAATGAAATGTGAAATGTCCATTCTAAGTTTGAATCTAAAAAGATTGCCATTGAGAGATGTTGATGAGAAGTCTTCACTACTCTCTCTTCCTCCTAACAAGAAATTCAAAAGTTCATTCACTCCTTCATTCATTCCTCTTTACAATCCACAATCTGCTGCAGTTTCAACATCCACCATCGCTGCTACTCCGGCTGCCACATCAAAGAAAGCATATTTAACCACGCCATCCTCAAAAACGTCATCATCTGCTTCATCTTTAACAACAGCAACTGCACAATCAGCTTCATCATCCACGAAAAAGTCTCGAAAGTCAAAATCATTCTCCGTCATTTTATCATTGCCATCATCAAAATCTAAAGTTAAAATGTCGCACACATTAGAAGATTGCTCACTCCTTACTAATGCTCACAATAACACTCCCCTCTTAAATCTCTCAACATCTAGCAGAGAGATTGAACACAAAGATATTGACCACACAGAATTGCATAATAATTCAGACACAGTGGAACTCAACGTCATGAATGTTTCAAGCTCAAACTCTGCAAACAAATTCAACAACTCTCCTGATAAGAATGTATTTGCCAACATCACTGAATTTTCACTGTTGAACAGAAAGGACTCCAGTCCAAATCTTCAGAAGAATGAACCAGTTCCATCCGCTGATGATTACCAAGCAACACTTCAACGATTTTCAACATCCTTTATGAACAAGATAGGCAAATATAAATCTAAGAACAGCTCAAAGCTTAAAAATATGATCAGAAATAATGGTAAACCTGCCACTGAATCAAAGTCATCGTGTTCAGCTGGGCTCATTTCAAAAACTGCAATATCCAAATCGACATCTGGACATCAGCTAATCTCAACAAATAAGGCTACAAGTCTGGAAGATTGTACAAAAATAACGAAAGCTGAAACCCAAGAAGATGTTGACATAACAGGCAGTTATGATGGCGACGAGGACAACGCTGGTGATAAAGACAACAAAAACAACGACATTATCATCATTAATGATAACGACGATGTTGATGTTGTTGAGTTTCTTGACAGTTCAAAAGCGAGGAACTTGTGTTTGGATATTGCTACCGGGGATGTGAAAAGTGGTGCGAAAGAGGATGCTTCTGGCACTAAACCAGCTGCCGTTGGGGCTGATGTTTTCAAAAGTAAAACTTTGAAGACGAAGCTACCTCTGGAAAGTAGTGTCTCCACTGCCAGTCAGAGTTCCACAAAGATTAACAACAACAAAAATAGTAATAATAATAAGGTCAATATCAAAAACTCAAGTTCAAATCATGTCTCTTCGAACGGACTGTCAAGAAATTTAAAAAAATCGCCAACCGTCCGGTCCAAACTCGCCGGTCCACTCAACAAACAATTACAGGTAACGCTGGATAGGTATCTGCATAGTAAAAAATCCAATTCAGACGATGACGAGGTGGACGAGGACGAAGACGATGCCGTCGGCAGCCACACAGCACACTCTGCATATATAAGCATCTTCAATAGCGACACTGTCATCAATCGTAAAAACGCCACTTCCACCTCGAAACCATCCGTGCTGTCGTCGTCGTCGTCGCCTTCCTTGATGCAAGCCTCTCGGCATAGAAACCAAACTCGGTCATTGATCAGTAGCGTTAGCGAGAAAAAGAATCCTTCCAGTAGTAGAAGCCGTTGTAGTGGCGGCGACAGCAGCTTCACGCTAGCTGCTACTATTAATAACGAAAATAATAATAATATTAATAAAAATAATATGAAAAACAATAATAATAATAGTACTATCATCTCCACCGAACCTGTCGGCAAAATTTGTCGGCTGGAAGTTAAGCTAGATAAAAACTGCCCCGAGGTCAAACCCAACACCAGGTGGCATTCTAAAAATAGAATTAGTGCTATTAATAGTAACAACAACAACAAACATAATAATAATAATAATAGTAATAATGGTAGTAATCATAAGGTAAACATGGAAAATGGTAAAAATAATAGTAGCTGCAAGGGAAGTGTCATTAAACAAGATGTGAATGGCAATAGTATTGGTAGTTATTTCGCTAGAGAACGCTCTTGACGCCGGTGGCTTTTGATGCCGGTGGCTTTTGATGCCGGTGGCTCTGCAGTTGCGAACGCACGCATTGACTTTTATTTTCATTTGTTTTAAATTTTGTAAGAAAATTAAAGTAAAATTTGTTAAAAAAATTCGACTAAACTTTGCAATTGCTAAATTAATGATATCTTATGCATGATTGTATACATACCTACGCATATATACATATTATACATATACTTTACATGGAACTTGTTCTAATAAAGACGTTTCTGAATTGTCGTCCTTTTTAATAGATGAATAGGTTTTCTATTTGATTGGCTATTAATTTTAATATAATTTAGTTATTATATTGATTGAATTAAAGTTAGGCGTGCCTTCACACACTCTTAATGTTATTTCACTCACTAATATGATCGATAACGTACAATAATTGTGTAGTATAATTTTATTGTCAATATATTGTTTTGAAGGTTTTTCTTGGTCTGTTTGTATATTTATGTTTGATTTATTGTTTGTTTGTACGTGTCTTTTTATGCCGGTTTGCGTGTACGTACGTATGTATGTAGGTGTTTATGTATGTATTTATGTATGTATATATGTACGTATGTATGTACGTATGTTAAAACTAAATCAGCGATGAGTGACACTAAACAGTCAAACATCTGAATGAAATCGGTTAACAATTGATATCTCGTTATTCGCTCACGTCGGCGTTCAATTGAACATTTTCGGTAACACAGACGCTCAAGAACCTTTGCAGCAAACGAGATATGATTCATGGCGAAAAATAGCTCTCTGCTGGCGCCGGACCTGACACTCATCATTTGCGTATGTGTATGTACGTATGTGTGTGTGTGTGTTTGTGTGTGTGTGTGTATTGATTCATGCCATTTCTGAACAATCAATTAATGGATTTAATTGTTTTGTTTTAAATTTTGAAATAGATAGATGGCTCCTTTCTGTTTTGTCGTTCTTGTCTGCTGATCTTTTGCGTGTTTATTCCTGTGTGGTGTGTGTGTGTGTGGTGTGTGTGTGTGCTTGTTTGCTATGGGTTGTTTAATGTTTCATCTCTAAATTTCTGGATCGCCAATACTTTAAAATTTTAAATACGTAAGTAATTTTAATATTTTATATTTCGCACGTGTTTTTGCAGAGTTTTTCAGAATCGATTGAGATTTTGATAACGTTTAGGAGTGAATATATACATGCGATTTTTTTTCATAAAAAAAACGAGTTATAGTAAAATATTTTTAGATGAAAATAATTCGAAATGTTACAGTTGCAGGAATGAATAACCACATCATTGTCAATAAGTAGACAAATAAGTAAATGAATGAATAAATAATGTATATTAATATTAAAATGTTTAATTTAATGTAAAGATCTTGAAATGTTATGTTGAAAAATATCAAGTTATACACGTTACGGGATTCACAACATAAATTGAAAAAATTATCTTTGAACTAAAGTTCAACTTTGATACAATTGCGATCATTGTTGCGTAATGAAATATACCAAAAGAGTAGAACACACCACAAGCGGTACGTGATACAAATTTGAATTAAAATTTATTACTGTTCATTATTCGGATTGATGAAATTTTTTAAAATTCATCTTTCAAGCGAGTTTCGAATGAAAAAAAAACAATTTCACGATACGTGCGTCGCTGATTTGCTTTTTCGAAACAACTCTTTGTTTGTGTTGGAACCCTTGGTTATGACACAGCATCTGATACAGCAGCCGAAGTAAGATATCGTGATGCAGACCAGTTTGTAGAGTGCTAAATACTCAGACCATGAAGTGTTTCCTTTTGGGAAATTGTTTATTGAGAATACGAATATCATGAAGTAGATGGATAGGGGAATATTGAAGATCAAACTGAAGAAGCTTATCTGTCTGGTGACGTGGCGTATCATGTATCTACCGTGGTGGCCGCCGCTGAAAACGTTCGCCATGATTCGCGAGTCGTCCACGCTGTCGTTTTTACTGTCCGCGTTTTCATTGTTGTTGGTTTCGTTCACGGATGAGTGTCGTTGGTTTCTTTTGAATGAAGGTCTCGGCGGTGGTTTCAGCTTGAAAGAATTCGACGGTGTCAAATTTTTTCCCGTTTTCCAATCCATTTCTGTATCCACTGTTGAAACGCTGAGAAGATTGTTCACTGTGGGTGACTTGATGTTGGACTTGCTGACGCATAACCTTTCCGATGACGAGAGGAAAGTTCCTGGGACCACGTCACTAGGACTTGCCGCTTTTGTTGACGTCTGTTTTTCTGAATCATTCTTTTCCGGAGAAATTCCCGAATGCGGATTTAAGTTTGAATAGCTTCTACTCTTGTGAATGAAAATGTGCGGGAAAGTTTTGTTCAAGTAGAAACTGGCTATTCGACGAAGTTTCGATTTCTCGGAGTTGGCTGTTTCTAAATACCTTGTCATAATAATATTCGCTTTTGATGGATCTAACGCTGACATGTTCTCCGAATTTTTACTCGGACTCTTAGGAATATTTTTTTGATTTTTTTTGTTCAGAAAGTAGTTTGATCCGGTCGGCCTTTCTCTTGAGTTTTCGAATTGTTTCCTTCTAGTGCTGTATCTAAATGATGGATGTCTGTCCATGATAGCGGTTTTCTTCGCATCTATATGACTTTTCGAAGCTGAAATGTTTCTGAAAGCAGCACAAAAATTTGTTAGATTTCAATACCAAACGCGCAACAAAGAGTAATAGATATATATATATATAATTAAAACAGAGATTCACTGACCTGAAACTGAGTCTGGTCGACCTGCTACGACCCCTAGTATGAAGAAGTTGTTTAACAATTTCACTATCGTCGTCATCTCGGCGCTTGTTTCCTAATATTTTCATCGACCCACCAAATCTGTTTCTATCATAAGTTCTTGGTTGGCTCAGGAAAGCATTATCAATTACGTCTCTTGAATTTGTTGAGTGAGGTGATCTAGAAGAAACTTTCTGTCTTGAACATCCGTCAATTTTTATCATTTCAGCCTCAATTGATCTATTCAGTAACGCAATTTTCTCAACGGAAGCTAATTTATTTAAAACTTCCCTACTCCTGGGAATTTTCCTCCTCGTGCTGTAACGAAGCGAAGGATGGCCCTCGAATCTGCACGAATCCGAGCTGCGATCCGATTTGGACGAGGACCTGGAAGATTTAGCCGAGTCATCTCCACTGCTCGGTCCTGAAATATTTTTGCTACGCGATTTTTTGCTTTTTGATCTTTTGTGATTTTCTTTGAAATGTTTCGCGTTCGTGGTGTTGCGTGATGATCTGCTCTCAGTTTCGACGCGAGTGTTGACAGTTTGATAGATTTTACACTTTGCAGTTGGGCTGCTTTCTACACTGAGATAGTTTGATGTTTTTGATGCCACGTGTTTCATTGTGGCTTCATCATCTCTCTTCGCAACACTTAAGTTAGTGTTTCCTTGAAGTTGCTGAACTTTCGATGGCTGTTCCTGCTGCGGCTGGTTGTGTTGATCCTTTTCGAAATCAGCCAGACTACTTAAGCCAGTGCTTTGTTTTCTTTTTATACTGTACCTGTTTTTGTTGAAAACAAAGTTGTTTTTGTAATTTTAAAAGATTTACAAAACTAAATTACATTCTGAAACATTGAAATTTAGTTTCACGTGTATCAACCTTAATGATGGATGTCGATCGAGTTGCGGCGACATTCTTTGCGATTTGTATTTTGCTGAAGATCGTTTCTTGAAACTACAGCTGCTACTGAAATCCCGATTTTTCCTGTTAAAACTGCCGGCTAAAGTCAAAGTTGAAAGATTGGTCTTTTTCTTTTTAGATTCTGCATTCTTATTGAACGCGGTCAGCGCGGTGGGTGAGTAAGAAAGGAAGCTGGATTCACCAGAACTTCTCGACTGGTTCCTGGTGCTCGTTCGAACGTCATCTTTCTTGCTTAACAAGTGTTCAAGTTGCTCTTCTTTGTACTGATTCTCTTCGTAATACTGATTGTTAGCCTCGCTCTTTGTGAACTTTTTAAACTTTTCCACATGGTATCTTCTATTTTTAAACCAGGCCATGAGGTAAATAGCAGCGGGAGATAAATGAGAGATAACGAGCAAGAAAATTAATAATAATTTATCCGGTATTTTAAATTTCAAATTGTAGAGATTATAATTAAAAATTTTGTAGACTAGAAAGGGTAGTGAGCCGAGAAGCGCGCCGAAGCACCAGATCATCACGACGACCATCAGTCCAACCTTCAAGGTCTTCAACGAGCGTTGTTTGTTGGGCTGGTTGTTGGTAGGTGCACCGGTTGCCTCGGTGTCGTTGTTCGGTTTCCGTTCAAACACCGAATCATCGGAGAGTGTTTCAGGAAGTTGGAGCTTATTTTCACCGTTGACATCTTCCGAGAGGTCTTTCAAATTTACATCTTTCACGTAACATTTTCGCCTCTTACATGAGCTGACTGCTAGTGCTAAGATATGGAATGTATAGATGCCTCGGAACACGTTATCTACCCAGTTGAATTGGCTGTAGATATCTGTTCAAAACAAAAGTACGTTTTTAAAAAATTATCAAACAAACTTTTTTTTAGAATTATTTAAGAAAACATTTCAGTTATAAAAAGCTGCAAACAACTAATAACTCAGCAAGAACGATGTCCATTATCTACCGTTGTTTTTCTTGTTAATAAGACAGAGAGGAATGCAGGACATGGAATGTATGACGTCACAAATTACTGATGACGTCAGTAATTGGATGCAAACTCGGTTCCCATTTTCAGTCGTACACGATGACGTCATAATCATTTCTTGTTTTGTTTGCGAAATAAAACTCCGTAGCTGCTGCTGTTGCTGATGCTTTTTAGGTAGCTGTGGAAGAAGCTGCTGAGAGGATCTGTGCTGCTGTGGCTGCAGTTGCTGTCGATGTTGTTGTTGAAAGTTCTGTAATGTCGTTTGGTGATGCAACTTCAACTGTTGGTGTCGTTGGTATTTTTTGCGCCATTTTTTCTTGATAGTTAAGAGGGCGTTTATTGCACTGAAGCAAACAGCCAAGCCGACAACGAAGAGTAGAAAATTGAATAAGGAAGTGAATGTCGACGACAAATCTGCGGACGTGCTGTCGAAACATTTTGTCGCGGTGTTGTTGGCGGCGTAGCTGCTGTTGTCGTTGTTGTGCTTGTTGTCGTTGCCGTTTATGAGGCATTGATTGACTTTTAGGTTTCCCGCACTGAGAGATGAATTCGTAAGAGTCATGACGTCATATGCCGAATTCACCTGGCTCGTCGTCGCTATTCAGTCCTTTTTATTCGTCTTCTCATTACTGTCTGGGAATGAGTTTCTCCCTTCATTCACTTGAATTAATTCAAATTATTTGGCGATGAAAACGAAGGCGTGTTCATCATCTATAGAGACATCCCTGCAATGAAGATCTGCAATGTTTCCAATGAAGTTCTCATCTACGCACAATCTAATCCATACGTAAATAAAATAGAAATGAAGAAGGTTGACGCGGTAGAAAGATAATAAGAGAAATAATAAAAAAAGAAAGAGAGAGAGAGAGAAGGAGAGAGAAATGAATAATTCAGCAAACTGGCCTTAGATATCGTGTTTTTTTCAGGTTGTACATTAAAGGTAAATTTGATACGTGCCATTAGCATAAGCATCATCAACGTACGACATGCGAGCATACTTGGGCTAGCAAAGTATTTTTTCTATCACAGGCTAATGCACTTGGGCGATGCAATGCGCAGAGGCAAACAAGGTCGTAACGACCACCCATCATACTCCATCAATCACTTATTCCACTAATTTTACGGACGTAACAATATAGCACGACGCCAAATATTCACCATCCCAAATATTCACCATCCAAAATATTCACCATTCCAAATATTCACCATCTCAAATATTCACCATCCAAAATTAAAAAAAAACTCGATATTAAAACCATAACTCCTCTCTATGTAGCCCACAGTAAAACAACATTTACCCACCTTTAACCACTACGATTTTGGATAAAAGTAACTTCATCAATGACATCTCAGAACAATTAAAAACAGGTAAGCTACTTAGCTTGAAAGCAAACACTTCTCTCGATATATATTTTTATGTGTCAAGTGCAAACATCAAAGATACAGTTGGTAATATTAAAGGACATTCCGAACGTACACTGAAGACGTATCATCTTGGCTGAACATGTAACCGGTACAAATATATCGGATACAATGTTCTGCGGACACCAATAATGTTATGCACCGTGTTAAAAACATTTGCATTCGACTCACACACATACCTCACACATACACCACACACACTGCACATACACACACATACGCACACATACACACATAAACATTCATACACACACATACTACTCATAAACACACTACACACCCCACACACATAAGCACACACACACACATACACTGGAGTGTTACAAAATGCCTGAAAATTGGCGGAATAATTTAAAAGGTAAAAAAACATTAAATGTCAGTACATATTTTTGTCAATAGGGGATAAATAAAGAGTGACAAGCATGTGCGTGTGTTGATTGAGTGAATGAATGAATGAATGAATGAATGAATGAATGAATGAATGATTGAATGAATGAATGAATGAATGAATGAATTAATTAATTAATTAATTAATGAATTAATTTATTAATTTATTTATTATAATTAATTAATTAATTAATTAATTATAATAAATAAATGAATGAACAAATGAATAAATAAATGAATCAGTATGTCTAGGCATGTGAATGTGTTGTGGATTATGTGTAATACAAGTCGCTTGATGCATGTTTGCAGGTTTGTGTGTGTGTTTGTGCGTCTGTGCGTACGCCTGCATGTACATGTGTCTGTGCGTACGTTTGAATATGCGTGTATGTGGTTGTATTGTTGAACATTGAGCCAACCGAGCGTATTAACACGACGAAAATACCTTCAAAACATGCTCGTTATCGGCACGTCTCAAAGAAGTTTGTTCTCGTGCCATGAAGAAAGAAGCCAATAGAGAGAAGCAAGAAAAATAATATTGAAAGATAATAATATTATCAATAGATCTAATTGGTCAGATTCTTTCTATTCTCTCATCCCTCTCTCTCTCTCTCTCTCTCTGTCTGTCTCTCTCTCTCTCTCTCTCTCTCTCTTTCTTTCTCTGATTGTAGAGCAGTTATTTGATTTTTTTTGTTCGTGCTCTACGTGTTACAGTTTCAATTTTTTTTTTTGAGTTTAAATGGAGTGTTTGTTGGATAATTGTGTGTTTGTTTGAGGTGTGCGTGCGTGCGTGTGTTTCTAATAAAAATAATAATAGTAATAATAATAATAATAATATTAATAAAAATAATTCAAATCGTCTATCAAGTGCAATATAATTACGTTTTTCATTTAAGCTACTTGTCAATTCCTATCAACAACAACTACTACACACACACACATACGTGTGTGTGTGTAGTAGAACAACCAACACACACGCACACACACACATACGTGTGTGTGTGCGTGTGTGTTGGTTGTTCTATCTACGTTTTGAAATCGTTAATGGGTTCATATGTGCGTGAGTGTGTGTGTCTTTATGTGTGTTTCTTTGCGTGTATGTTGTTTTGTGTTATTTATTCAACTATTCACACGCATAATTGCATATGCATATGTGTTTGTTAAGGTACGAGAACCTAACTGTGATTGTACGTGTGTATGTGTTTGTAAGTGTACGTGTGTGTGTGTGTACGTGCTTGTAAGTGCGTGTGTGTACGTGTGCGCGCACGCAACTTAGAAGCTTGTCAATATAGCGTCAGTAATAATGATTGATCTTGAGCACTGGGGTTGTACGCTTGGCGTTTTATGAGATACATGATATATATCTATCTCAAGTGATATATCTATATATATAACGTGAGATATATATTATATAAAATATATTATATTATATATATTATATTATTAATAATAAAACATTTAATTAAGCGCTAATTAAAATCCAAAAGCTTTCAAAAGCTGCATCCAGATCGATTTAATTAAAGTAGAGAACAGTATAAGATGGTAGTAATTAATAAACAATTCAAAGTAAAATGAAAAAAATTCAAATTCCTCTTAAAATCATTCAGTATCAAATCCTCAGATCTTTTTAAAGATCCTGGCAAACTGCTCCAAACAGCAAGCAGGTCCTGAAGCGGTAAAATTTCATGTAGTGACCTGTGATCTGATGTCCGGGAAAACCAGCACATCGTTCTTATATGATCCTGGATCAATAATCTGGAACCCAGTGAACAACCCAAATTAGTTACTTCGTCAAAAAAATTAATTTTAACATCACCAATTTCCGCCGAATCATCCTTAAGTTTTGTTAACTAATGCCACGTTCCAATGCGAAGAAATTTTGATGGTTTAATTTAAGTATCCACTTTTCAATACTGTTTAGAGACTGTTTGAGTTTATTTATTTCTGGCTTAATACGTACAATTTTCTTTACACAATTTTTTTCATCTATTCTTTCTTTGCCTCTTGTTCCTTGCGCTATATAAAATACGTCATTGTTATTGTCATTATTATTATTTGTAGTAGTAACTGTAGTAGTTGTTGTAGTAATAGTAGTAGTAGCAGCAGCAGTGGTTGTAGTAGTAGCAGTGGTAGTATTCTTACTATTATTTAGATTTTGTCTTCCAGTGCATTTTGCTTAGCTTTGCAGGTGCAATGATGTGAAATTGAAAATTTAAATGCGGTAGATAATAAAAATAAGAGAGAGAGAGAGATAGAAAGAAAGAGAGAAAGAGAGAGATAAAGTAAAAAGGAGTGAAAAAGAGAGAATTTCAAACAATGTGATCAACGAAAAAAAAACAAATAGTCCATTATTTGAGAAGTGGAAAATAAATCATAAGAGGAAAAGTAAGAGAGAGAGAGAGAGAGAGAGAGAGAGAGAGAGAGAGAGAGAGAGAGAGAGAGAGAGAGAGAGAGTGAAAAAAAGAGAGAATGAAAAAGATAGAAATGAAAAAAAGGGATAAAATAATGAAGAGAGGGTATAGAGAGAAGGACAGAGATAATTCACATTGGAAATCATTCGCTAATGGTCTTCGAAGAAAACCAGTCGAAATCACAAAAATGCTGGTAATGATATTTTCTTCTTCATTATCATCATCATCAACATTATCTTTCTTCTTCTCATCATCATCATCATCTTCTTCTTCCTTCTTCTCATCATCATCATCACCATCATCACCATCATCATCATCATCGTCGTCGTCATAACCGACATTTAGAGGGATGGATTCACATGACACGTACAGACATGCCTTGAAACGAAACACAAAAGAATCATGTTCTTTCGAGAAAGATTTTTCTAATCCATCCATCCACCCGTCTGTTCATTCATTCGTTTATCCGTTCGTTCGTTCGTTCGTTCGTTCGCTCATTCATCTATCCGTCAATCCATTTTTTTATTCGTGTATCAATAAACCCGTATAATGCATATTTGTAATAAATGCTTGCACATCATTCGTACAACTACGTGTGTACATTTGCACGTATTTGGGTATGCCTTCCATTTGTACACCATATTTTAACGCTTCTTCCGCAACAACAACAACAACCCGCAACATTGTTTGCATAGAGTTTGGCAGATGAAAATGCTCATACGGCACGATATATTTGCCTACATACATATACATCTATTCACAACTTTTTCTAAGTTTGTGTATGTGTATGTGTTTGTGTGGGTGTATGTGAGAGATTGAGATATATAAATATATATATATAAATATATATATATATATATATATATATATATATATATATATATATCTATGTATGTGTGTGTGTATGTGTGTGTGTGCCTGTGTTTCAGTACTTCTATTCTAATATTACTAAATCTATTCAATCAAAAAATGGGTAGATGGGAGAATGAATGAACGGATAAACAAACGAATAATCAACGATTGAACGAACGAACGAACGAACGAATGAACGAACGAACGAACGAACGAACGAATGAATGAACGAACGAACGAACGAATGAATGAATAGCGGTTAAACAATTTCAAAAACTAATTAAAAACTTATTTTAAAATGGAATAGAAATAAAATTTGAATAAATGGAAAAAGTAGAAAGGTAAATGAATGAAATGAGCAAAAAAAATAAACTCAACAAAACAATAGTCTACCGAGAACAATGAATGAGTATTTTGTTGTCTATTTTGATGAATTACTGAATACTACTACTACTACTACACTAACTACAACAACAACTACTACTACTACTACTACACTAACTGCAACAACAACAACAACTACTACTACAACAACAACAACAACAACTACTACTACTACTACTACTACTACTACTGCTGCTGCTGCTGCTGCTGCTGCTACCACAATTTGACTTAAACCAAAATAAAAGTTAAATAAACCAAATGCACTTGAAAACAAAAAAGAAATGAAAGACGAAATTCGTATTAAAAAGCATAAATTCACAATTCACACATGTATTTTATGTATGTATGTGTATATATGTGTGTGTGTTGTGTGTGTGTCTGTGTGTGTCTGTGTGTGTGCGTCTGTATGCGTGTGTGCTTGTGCACGTTGGTTAGTAGTAATGATAGAAGTGGAAGAACAAACAGCGCTCATATAAGTTTGTGTCAACATTTAAAGGAGAATTTATGCCAAAGATTTTTCTTATTTTAATTTAGTGGCAGGTTCCATGGCAGGTTCCATGCTTTGTACACACTTAGGTTGGCGATGACGATAATGACGCTGTTGTTGATCAGGTTTTTAGCAAAGATGACGATGGTGTTTTGACGACGATGACGACGATGACGATGATGACGTCATTGTTGTTGTTGTTGTTGTTGTTGTTGTTGTTGTTGGATTAGTTAGTTGTCAAATGGACTAACATCTGGGTGACTGGTGCAGATTACTTGCGCGAAGTCTTTCATTCAGACTGAGAGAAGGTAGGAATAATTTTCGGCGCGAAATTTTACTGATTGAAAGAAGGTAAAAGAGAATGAAAGAAGGAATGATAAATTAGTGCAAAATGGAGAAAATAAAATTGACAACTAAACAAAAGACGAAAAGGCGACAAAAATATCAACATAAAACAGCAACAACAACGATAACAACTACGACAACAACAACTACTACAACAACAACAGCATTAACAGCGACAACAACAACGACAGCAACA